CCCCCCCCCCCCCTCCCCCCCGGATAAAATATTACTGTATTCCTCCTGTGAATGACCACTATATATAACTATAAATTATATATCCATTATGCTACCTTTTTAAAACAAAAATGGATATGGGTGAACTACAACTCCAGTAAGCAATATTCCATCCATAAAACATCCACTTTTTGAGAACATTTTGATTCACTTTTAACCAAAAGTATTTTTCTTGATATTTTGATAGTTGATTTTATGAGGTTATTAATTACATGTAATAATCTTTTTCAAAGTAGCATTTAATTATGTTGTTTCAGTTTGAATCAAGACTTTTCATATGGGTGATTTCCAAGAGATACTTGTCTTTAGTTTACCAGTTTTATTGACATTTTCTGTGATTTTTGGCTTGTGTTGTTCACTTTGCTGTGCATTGCTACGGTAAGTCAGTAAGATATTTTCCTTGAAAAGATTTATTCAAATTGTCCACATATTAGATACTGAGTCTCATAATATGAAAGACCAACCTAGAATTTAATAGTGTTTTTTTAAGTTTTATATTCCAATGCTTACGAGAGTAGCAATTTTATAAATTTAAAAACAAATTTCAATCTGATCACTGATCCCCTCAAGTGGTCTCTTGAAATTTATTACTGACAGGAGATCCCGATCCCAAAGCTAAAATTCTGATCCTTCATCCCAAAATAATGCTGATACCATATACCATATCACAACACTTCTTGTCTATTATAATAACTGTAGAAATAGAAGAAGACAAAGGAATTTACTCTCTCAGACAGCAAGACGTCCATTTCCTAGGGGATTGAAGAAGGTACTAAATACCATCTGTAATACCATCTGTGTGTGTGTGTTCAACACTCTATCTTGGTTAGTCTGGGAAGAAATATAGAAAGACTAAAACAGGGATTGTGGAGCATGAATTTGTTTGTTTTTTTTGGGGGGGGGAGGGGGGGTTAGCAGTGAGGAGGTACTAGGGGGGTTTGGAAATTTTTGAAATCTTAACTCTCGGAAATGTCATTTCCAGCGTTTTGAGGTGTTATCAAAGACATTTTTACCGCACACGGTCAGCGATATTCCCAAAGACTTTGCAAAAAAGCTTCAATTTTAATTGTTCATACTCGGTTTTTACACAATTTTTATAGAATATATATGGTGAAATTTCATAAGGAGGCTCTTTGCTTCTTTATTTAAGAAAATTCAAAATGTCGTAAAAACTATTGGGGGGCCTGCTCTGCGGTCCATGTAAGGGAAGGGGGGGATCTCACCAAAGGAAGCCCTTGAACCACTTGTAAACAACTATGTTTATATGGACAGTTGCATTTCTACGTAGGAAGGAAGAAGTTAAACTTTTGTAACTAGTAATCATCTTGCTAAAAGATTTTCTTAGGACATGCCACTAGTACACCTGGGTCTAAATTTAGTGAAATTCCTTTTTTAGGTGAATTTTAAAAATAAATTTTGGTTTCAAAAGCAGAAGACAAATCTAAAAGATGATGTAAGTATAAAATATGGTTTTTATTCTCATCAAAAAATATGTTTTCTTGAAAATTGTTATCGTCACCATAAAATCAATATTTCTTGAAGTTTACATACGGTAATGTTTAGTATATTATGTGCTTTTGTATTGGTTGAAAACAGTTATTGACTACCATAGCATTGTTTTTTTTTTATCATCAAAGTAGTGATCCACTTTTCAAACAAATAGATTTAATCATTTTCCATTTTGTACTCTAATATTTTCACAGAAGACATCAGAATGTGATGAGACCAACAATCACACCACTGAACTTGTGCCATACCTTTTTTTTGTCCTCATCACATTTTGACATCATCGTGTCTATCAGAGTACAGAATGAGATGCAGATGTACAGAAAAAGAGAACCAATCTATTTGATAAATAGGTGGATCACTACTTTGATGAATATAAACAATTGTTACCAAGAGTTAATACACAGTGGAAGCGTTTTAGTTGGTCTATATTTTATTTGTCTCGTATGCGCCATTAAATAGTATTTTATGTCTCGTGGGACCCGACGCGTAAATTCACAGATATTATATAATACATTATATAATCATACACAACACAATACTGTACTATGGCAGCCAATAATTGTTATTAAGCAAACCCCATAATAATTGAACATTGTATATATTTTGTGAATTTTTTTAATGAATTATGTTTTAGATGTGCACAATCTGTCTAGAAGACTTCAAAGGGCGAGAAGAAATTAATATGTGCAAATGTGGACATGCTTACCATCATAAGTATGTACTAGAAATTGTACATTTTTTTAAATATATATTAAAATATATAATCAGTGGTCATGTAATAATAATGATGTAATAATAATGATATAATAGAAAAAAAAACAGTTGTGTAAAAAGATAAATTTAACAGTGTGAAAAAGTAGGTGAATTAATTTACTGACGTTTTGGATGTTCATCGGAGTAAAGAGATGTAACTGTGTAAAGTGTGAGTTTATATAATAAGAGTAGCAAAGAAAGTAGACCAATAATAACAATGATAATAGTAATGATGATAGTAGTTAATGATGATATAATAATAATAATACAGCAATATGCAGAAATTATGATCATTGTGGACTCATATTCCACGTACCGGTATATCTATAAAATATATCAGAAATTATTGGATATCATCACCAATATTTTTTTCAGAAAGTACTAGTGCTAGGCAATGATATCCCATAATTTCTGGTATATTTTATATATACTTGGAATACAATGGCATGTATAATTTTTAACTTTTTTTCTAGATGTATAATGAAATGGCTGGAAATTAAAGACACATGTCCTATATGCCAGAGAAATGTTAGAAGAAAATCAAGAACAGTGAATGAAAGAACTCATCTACTGGTTGAAGCACTACATGTCTGAATCTTAGAACATGAAAATTATTGGTTGAGGCTGAGTATAATATGAAGAATTATTGGTTGAGACTGAGTATGATATAAGAATTATTGATTGAGACTGAGTATGATATGAAGAATTATTGGTTGCGATTGAGAATGATATAAGAACTATTGAGACTTAGTACAATATGAAGAATTATTGGGTGTGATTAAGAATGATATGAAGAATTATTGAGAATTACTATGATAAATAATAATTGGTTGAGACTGAGTATGATATAAGTCTTATTGATTGAGACTGAGTATGATATGACTAATTATTGGTTGTGATTGAGTATGATATAAAGAATTATTGATTGAGATGATTGATATGAAGAATTGCTGGTTGATATAGAGCTTGATATCACGAATGTGGAAGCTGAGGTAGCTGTTTTCTGGAAATCAGATTCTGTTTTTTCCATAATTTTTCATATCATACAAAAGACTGATTCAATAATACTCTATAGTCTCAAGGAAAATGGTACATGTACGTACCTTTAAAAAAAGTTATTCTTGGACTTTTCAGATTTTGCACGAGTCTTAGAATCTTGAAATCAGTAGTTTACCACAGGGTTCCCAAAGATGCGTACAATTTTCAATTATTTAATGTTGCCTTTTGATTCTTGTCACCTAAGAAAATGTAGCTGGAGGGGAGGGGGGGTCATTGTACACATCCTTGGGAACCCTGTGGTAAACTGATTTCTATCAGAAATAATTCTGGGAGTGAGGAATAAGCCCCTGGGTTCTCAAGAATGCATTGGCCACCCCTAAAACAATATCTCACACTGATGTAAAGATATCGACATTTATTATTGAATGGTAGACTGGAGCCATTCACAAATGAGCATAAATTTATGATATTATTCCAGTATTGAATTGGATATTTTAGCACTTATTTTAGAATTAGCAGCCTTATAGAGTACAAACATTAAATGTGTGCAACACTTTTCACTATTTACTACAAAATAGTGTTAATTAAACAATAGAATAATTTAGCAGTATTTAGTGGTATTTATGCTGCACAGTTTTAGTGTTTGTACTCTATAATTAGATGGGTTGTTGTTTTTTTTACAATTTTGACGGCCATGTGATATATTTAAATAGGAAAAAGGACTAATGAAAGAAATGAAAATGTATATAATTATGTCTTAGGGTTTGGGTGTTTTTTAACATTTTTACTATGAGATTTAACTGAGGTACTTAGTTGCTTGATGTGGAAAATATCCATAAAAGTTTCATAAAAATAGAATAAGTGTAAAGTGAAATGAAAAATTGAAAAAATGCACATATCAATCAAAATGTAGGGTAAGAAAATACTTGATAAATTTTTGGCCCATCTAGTTAATTTTAATAATATTGAAAATTTATTTAATATTATTAGAAATTACAGATATTTTATTAAAACCAAATGACAAACCTTTGAAGGGTCATGCAGGAATATCAATTTGCAACGAATCCTAGGAAACCAAGGGGATATAAAAGAAAAAAAAACCTACTAGGCCAAATGATTTTGGTTTCCTAATGAATGTTCAAAATGGTATCTTTATATTGAATAGCGCATTAACTTTGTTGATATATACTGCTAATACTGTTATTTGGACAATTAAATTCCTGGATTTTATACCGTATTTTAATAGCGTATTAACTTTGTTGATATATACTGCTAATACTGTTATTTGGATGTTTATCACGACTATTAGACAATCAAATTCCTGGGTTTTATACCGTATTTTAATAGCATATTAACTTTGTTGATATATACTACTAATACTGTTATTTGGATGTTGATCACATGACCATTGGCCAATCAAATTTCTGGGTTTTATACCGTATTTTAAAAACGACAAGGGGCTGGTTATAGAAAGGGTGGATAAAGTTATCCACCACATTTAGTTGCCCAATCCAAAATTTTGTTTGGATTTTATCCACTTGGTAGGGGTTTGTTTGGTTTGTGGAGCTTGTATTCACCACTTTGTACAACTTGCCCCAACATAATATTTTTTAGAGTGAATATAACATAACTTTTAATAATAATAATAATAATTTTATGATATATAGAGGATATGAGAGATCTTAATATATTACTTGGGCGCAGGGAGATACGGATTTTATCATTGATTGTTGAAAAGATCTCTCACAAGTGAGCGTAGCGATTTTTCAAATTCGTATCTCCAACCGACCATGTAATATTCTGTTTATCATATAATTAAATATGAAAGCAAATTATGTCTTATAATACCTTTTTTCTTACTTCCACTATATAGAGAAACCTCGAATGTGTTATTTTCACTAGTGAAAATATCAACTTAAATGGAGAAATATAGGTATTAGATAATTTCATGATATATAAATGTTTTGCATGGTTGCTACTGAATAGATTTTTTGACTTGTATGTCTGGATGTTCGGCTTTCCCTTGATGCAATGCCAGTCCGGTAATTCCTTCCCATCAATCTCCCCAAAAAGAACACGTGACATACATGTAAACGTGCTCACAATATTTATCGGGACTTCCATACGTTTTAGAGAGAGAATTTCACTGAAAATCATTTTATTTTGTACATATTTCCCATCTATTTGATAGCAATCATGTTTTTGAATATTGTAATTAAAAGATTTTTTACTATCACAAAATGACTCACTATTTGTTAGACTGCGCGGTTTTCATAAACCAATGAAATAATTACTAATTAAACAAATTTGTGTTTTGGAACATCCAGTTTACGCGGGCAACTATTACAGCATAACGTCCTCGATTCAATAGCTCTGTTGTTTTTTTATTATCCAACAAAAAAATTCCTGAAGCGACGGATTCTATCCTCTTTTAGTATAAACATACTAATGGTCTATCACTCATACTGCGCTGTGATTGGCTACTCTACTAATGGTCTAATTTGTGATAGACCACTCGCGGGAAAATCAAAATAAATAAATTATAAATCATAAATTATTTTAAGGATATTTCAATTTATTTTCATTATCTGACCGATTAGTATGTTTATACTAAAACAATTAGACCTCTCGGCCTCGTGGACTGAGAGCTAATAGCCCATTCGGCCTCGCGGACTCGGCCTCATGGGCTATTAGCTCGTAGTCCACTCGACCTCGAGGTCTAATTGTTAAATAGTAGCTCTCTTCAGGGGGCACAATCGCGTCACTTGGTCAACTTTCGACCAATGAGAGCGGAGGAAAATTTGTTGAAGTATGATCAGTGATAGTACCCCTCCTCGGCGGGCACTATCACGTCACATGGTCGACTCTCTAACCATGATTGCGTTAAGTTATAAAATGTAATACATGTAGGAGAAGGCCTTTAATGCCCGGAAAATAGTTTGCTAAAAATATGCAATATAGTTTCTTACGGTTAAAGTGACTCATTTATATCTATTAAAAACAAATGCGTGAAAATATTTGTCTTGGAATTATCMMACATCAGAGAAATTTTGATTCAAAAGATGGAGGAACAAAAGGATTGAGTAGATGACRTCATCTACYCCAACATTTTTTGCCCAAATTATTAAGGATTTGCATGAATATTTTCTTGAAATCTGTTGCTTCATAATTATTACACCCATATGGATAGGTCTATTTGATTTCCAAGTCTTTTCTAATATTTTGCAATTTTCGTCCAAGTAGCCCTTTAATACAATTTATATTCCGCGAAACTGTATAATTAAAAATCAAAATAGCACATACTATTAACTAACTTGCACAAAATGCCACAGAGAAAGGTTAGTAAAAATTTCACGCATTAAATGCGCTCACTTTATAGAGTGCTTCACGGCCATTAAGCGCTCGCAACCTCCTTCCCAGGACCTCATCCCTACGAGGTTGAAGAGCTCGATGTCTGATGTCATTGTTTTTCCTTCTGTGGTCATTTGACATTAATTGTTTCACGGGTTTTGGGAGTCCACTTTTTAAAAACATGTATATCATATATATATATTTTTTAATAAATATTCTTAAGTTATTTTGCACTGTTCTGATTTTTACCACACCTTCTGCTATTTATTTCTTTAATTAGGCATCAAGGTTTACTGTAACTATAAAATGTAGTTCGGTATTTCATGGTATTCTGGACTTTCTGGGAAAGTGTCCTCGATTCAGGGAGTCTCAAAGTGATCGCTTTTGCGCCTTTTTTTCATTGCCAATTTCGGCGTTATTACAGCACTGATCGAAACCTGCCTTTTTGAATACATAACTTTATTGTTAGGTTGGGTTTGGATTTATTGTTTGCAAGACTTCTCGAAAAGAAATATAGTTCCCCGAATGCAGTTCAAAAAGCGCACACAATTGATGTCAAGAAATGGTATAGCCACGTCTCTGCAGGGTCAATTTCAGCTATTTGGTCAAAGGTTTACTGTAAAATTGACTCTATCCTTTGGGACTCTCCAACTGGTAAAAGTCTAGACATCTATAGGATGCATTTAATAACAAATGGCTAACCTATGTATAGTGTGGAAACATTTGCTAAATCTATAAACCGACCGCCCTTGATCTTTTAATAGTAAAAAATGTGATCTATGAGTATGCTAGCGGCTGATAATAGAACTAGACTGAATACTGGCCTGACTCAGTAGGTTGATTGACCCTGGTTTAGAATATGATTTTTGTGTGTGTAATTTTCTGTCGCGTTCTTTGCGTTAATTTCTTTGAATTTTAGTTTTGAATCTATTAAATAGTGCGTTTACTGTTGCTGTTTCGATGTTGTTGTTGTTGTTGGTTTTGTTGTTGGTGGTGGTACAGTTTCGCCCTCGAGTCGGGTAAATTTCGGAATCGTTTCGTAAAACGATGATAGCCTTTCGTCCTCGGCTTTTTTCCTTCGATATCACGACAATTCTTTTTGACAGTTTCGTATTTATATATCAGAGTCTCTATTATCCAAACGATTCAAAATATTAAAAACTCAAGTTGCATACCTATTCATTTCGTACATTTCTTCATGAAAATGTTCAAAATTAGCAATTACCATCAGGAAATTAGAACCGGTCGGTGTCTTTTCACGGGTTAATTGCCAATGACAATGAGTGCGCCGTGATGACTGTTTTTACTCGCTTGTTTTTATTGTACGATAAAAGATTCTCTGTATGTTTAAAACCGTTTAATGTCTGCTATGGAAAATACAATTATTACATGTAATATTTTATTTAAGAAAATATTCAGTGTCTTTTTATTGTGCAATTTCACGGTATCCAATGTTTTTTTATTATTATTTTGGGGATAGAACAACAGGTCGACCTGGGTTCGGGATCAATGAAAAAACTATATCAGACCCTCATTATTTTTCAATTTTGTGCAACTTCATTAATTACCGTAATATAAGCCCTACTCCACAATTTATGCGATTTTAGGCCATCTACCAAGTAATGCACTAGAAACGCTAAGAAAAGCTTTTAGTGCTTTGTCTTTGGGTTCTGGAGGAGGTCCCTGAATATATATGAATGTCTGCTCTAGCATTTTTGATAGCAAGTTATACTCCACGATTTATACGATTTTAGGCCATGCTACCAAGTAATGCACTAGAAACGCTAGGAAAAGCTTTTAGTGCTTTGTCTTTGGGTTCTGGAGGAGGTCCCCTGAATATATATATATGAATGTCTAGCATTTTTGTTAGCAAGTTATACTGGCTTTACATGACTTAAATGCAATCCTTTATTACTAATAAGTACTTTTCCCTTTCTTTCTAGAGAAACGTCTTTGATTATTTCCAGGTAGCTGTGTGAAGATTTACTAATAGCTCGTCCAGACTCGTCTTTCGATCCCCCGTTGTTGTCTATCCCCATGAAAAGCTGTTTTCTCTCATGAGGTCATTAACAAGAATTCTATCAATTTCGAATTTTCAATCTTCAGGTCATTGACAATTTTAATAATTTAATACGATATCAAATCCGCTTTGTTGTACGCAATTGTTTCGTCAAATTGACAATAGATGTTTGCCATTCGCTCACTTAATGTATTAGCCTCAGTGATCTCGGTACCGTGCCATAGGAATAGTCTAGTGTACAGATGGTTGTTGGCAGGACTGGTTAGACCGCTGTAGAACCCTTTAAACACCGGTAAGCTGTTTTATTGACTCTTTTTTTAACTTCCATTACTCGTGTGAAATAATTTTTCAAGGTTACCTCTTTACATTTTCCAAAACCCGTCATACCTATCAATATGTGCCTCGTGTGGGTCAACTTTGTTTTTAACATAGGATAAGTACAGTTGAAATTTTTCAATACAAAATTCAAACATTTCACTTATGTTTCTATAGTTAGAGTTTGTATTTTTCGGTTATTAAAAATTTTGTGGCAGATGTATGATATCACTAGTTTTCGAAGCCATTGATTTCTATTGCTCTAGAAACCGCGCTCAAAGTGTTTTTTCATCACATTCGAAGAAGTGCATTCGAGAAAAATATCAAAATGAAATTCTACCGCATTGCTTTTCTTTTCGAGGGATGTTCGACAAATTTCTTGTATGTTCCAAGATGTTTTAACAACATTTATGAATACCTTTTGAGTGAGTTATGAACAGAAACAGCGAACAGATCGTACAGAACCAAAGAAGTCATAATGACCTTTAACCTACGTACATCGAAATAAGACATTTATTTATCTGCAGTGAAATTCTTTACAGCAGTGATTTTCCCTTGAGGAGATACTTTACTCGCTCTTAATCGATTTTAACAGCTCGTTTTGACTTGACAAAATAAGGATTTAATGTCTAATTTAAGTGCAAGGGAGGCGACTTCATAAACCGGTCTGATTTTGTCGGGATGTGAGAAAAGCAATTAGGGCGTGCCAGGCATGAATTTAAAAGCACTTTATTGTTGAATTCTATTTTTATTGTCCTTCACAAGATGTATCGATGTCGGAGTTAAAACTAAAGTGACGCAATTTGAAATTTTTGGAATATATTCCTCTGCTGTGTTTTTTACGTGGAAAGTAACATACTTATGTACCATATCTAGACGGTATAGGCTGCCTTGACCAGATCAGTGTAGATTGGTGATATGTCTAAAGTTTCCTTATTTCTCTTACAATATAATTTTTAAAGGTATGTGTTCTTTTTTCTCGCTTTACGCGAAAGCTTATGACATGTTATTAGCAAGCTAAATTAACAGTTAGGTAAAGGTCGGAAAATATAACGCCAATTATGGCTTTAATGATATCTTTTAGAGTTTGTGAGTATGAACAAGCACTGTACAATTTGAAATATACTGATTTGCCTTACTAGAGTTATACTTATAATCGATGTTCTGTTTGAATGGTCAAAATACCTGAAGACGAGTCCGCAGGGAAGCAAAAGAATCTCTTGTGTCCCCTAAGCCTCGTTTTCAATTCTTTTCTGCGCGATTAGCCAAACAACAGACCAACATTTCGAAAGTGGACTATTGCACTCTAGAAAGTCGACAACTGTCAGTCAGCTTACAGGATTCTCGTTTAACCTTCCTTAACCACTTTGTATAAGTGTAGAGGTACAATCTTAGGTAGCTCTCCTTTCTATATTTATTGCTTCCAGTAAAGGTTAGCGATCTGCCAACGGCATCTTAGAAAATTTGCCGGCATCGTCATGTTGTGCCTTCTATTTATCATTTTAGATGACTCTTTCCTGGCTTTAAGTATGCTTCGTCAACTTCTGTATTTTTATTGCTTTCTTTCATTTTTTTTTTTATTTCTACTAGATTTCTCTTTTTTCTTCTATTACTTTTCTCTTTTATTGTGCCGTTTTTATGTTAATATTTCATATGAATTTATTCTTTATTTTTATTTCCCTGTTTCTTTCCTTTTTTCCCCAATTTTCTATCATAGTACTGCTTGTACAATTTGCGTGACACAATGTACATTGTGTGACATATGGTCACGCATTTGCCGTTCAACTCAGACCATCGTTTCCGGTTAGACAATGTAGCTCCCGGTGCTTTACACGAAAAATATGAATAGAGGCTTCGCTAGAGGAGTATTTTCTGAACAAATATATTTAACCAGGAGAGTAAGGTCCATCATACCAAATACAATCATTATGTAGTAAGGACGCATGGTTTATGACGATGTACAAGGAACAGATACAAGAATTTTGGACTCACGATTAGATGTAGTTGTTGAAAAACGCTTAGAATGCTTAATCCTTTTTAATTCTACTTCCAATGTAGAAAAAACGGAGTCCAACAACGAGAGAGAAAAAAAGTAGGAAAAGAAAAAAAAGAAAGAAGAAAGGAAAGGAGGAAAGCAGCTTTAAAAAATCGGAGGGAGGATGAAGAGGTTTCTAAAACCAAAAGAACGCCCCGCAATAAAAGTTACAAAACCGCATCAAATTTCTTTAAAAATGCCATTGAAAACACGTAAAATCGTGGTCGAAAGTATTGCAAATGGCGGAAACCACTCGATCGGGTCTCCAACACTGCGAAATCATTAGAAAGAAGCATCTAAAATTTCTCACCTTTTACTTTACGTACTTTCTCAGTTTACAATGGATAGACTTCCACTTATTTCAGACATTGTGCTAGAAAACAGGTGGTTTTTGCCTGGTCAACAAAGGAATCTTTTGTGCGTGTGCTGATTGGACACTAAATGATTGATCTATGTGACGCTGACCTTTCTGAAAATCAACGAAAATGAGAAATTTAGCTACAATCCTACACAAAAAGGTTGAGAATAACTGCACCCTTCATGTCAGTTCAACAAAACATGCTCTCTACCCCCTCCCCTCCCACAAAACAATCTTATTAGCACTCAAACAGAATCCAGCAGGTATGTGAGCTCTCTAAAGAACAACTTTGAGCGAGAGGGGGCGGGGGGGAGGTTTGAAAAAATTAAAAAGTACAGAGAGACATTCCAACATTCAGCGGTTTTTAAAACATTCTCAACTCTTTTTGTCCAGGATTGTAGATTAGAAAGAAATGTTTCTATAAATATTTTTTTTTACTCCAAGTTAATCATAAGTAAAAATAATAGGCGACCAGGAAATTGACAACGCCCAAGTGTTAAACACTTAAAACTGAACAGCGATGACAAAAAAGAACGGTTATTATAATTATATGATGTCCGTGTTGATGGAGTAGTTAGCAAAATCAAGGGCGTGAAAGAGTGTAAAGTTATTTCTTCACTTGTAACTTTTAAGTCAAGCTATAGAATAACACTGCTGTGCTCCATCGCATCTTACAGCTACATTCTTTGATATCTGGACGTTTCGATGCGTAATAAAACACATTAATATTGGAGGCTACTAAATGATATGGAATATTATCCATGTCGTTCTATGTAGCAGCTATCCAGTGTAGGATAATTCTTCATATCACACCTAGACGAATCAATAATTATTTCACTTATAGTTATTACACCTCGTTCAAACAAGTTTAAAACAATATATATAATACTATAATAACAAAAATGTGTGACGCACAATTTCCATTTATGTACGAAGATATGCATCGTCCGCAAGCGATTAATAATACAATGTGTCATTGCGATTACCGAATGATGAAAAACTGCCAAAATGTGTACCAAAAACTCAAACTATTCAAAACTTTCCGTTAAAGAAAACAAGATAAAATCAGTTTAGAATCTTTATCATATGATTAAGTTTTAAACGAAATTCCCAGCCAAGGTCAAACAATTATGTTGAAATAAGGAAAAAAAAACTAAAGACGCAATATAAGCAGGAATGGTTGATTGGTCGCAAACGCCATACAGGAAATCGCCACTTAGTTGTGTCAAAATGTTCTTTGTAAAAATATTGATTGCGGATCAATCACGAGAAATGAGTAAATTAATCGATATTCTTGCTATTAAACTATAAAAATACTGATCAAGGGTTGAATTATTTAAGTATTATAATGATGAAGTCTTCGCAATTACGTCTTTTGATTCTATAGCTTTAATGTTTTTCATAATATTTTTTACGTGACAACACATTTATCATCATTGATATCCCCGAGTGACCATGATTCGATACATTCTTAAAGTCAGTAGACTGCGAAGAAAATTGGATTTTATTCTTTCTGATAAACTGAGTGCCAAAACATTTTTCACTATTAAAATGACGTCATTTACTTAACCTTTGGTCAAAATTTCTTCACTATTTTCCTTTTCATAGTTTATCGTATATCATATGATTTACATCAGTATTCTATTATTTTTGTTTCGTTTGTTTATGATTTCATAATTTGCGTTTTGTATTGGTTTGAATGACCTCACAACAAGTGTACGTGCATAATGAAGACTAAATACATTCTTCCGATCCGGGTCACACAATGAACTTGTGTGACGTCTTTTTTACGTCACACTGTAAACCTGTATAGAGCTCTTATTTGCTCCGAGGCTGATTAGCTTTCAATTGACGGTACATCAAACACCGTGCTAAACCAAACACAACAAGGATTCATTTGAATTCCCTCTGTTCGAATCATCTGATTATTCAGTGCTCCCGGGAAATCGAAGACGTGTCCCAAAAGTTCGAAGTACACTCGTCGAACGTTTGATCGTGACACTCAGTTGGCTTTCTTGGAGGGCATTCGATTGGTATCCGTACGATCGTGAGTTCTAAACATGTCTACTTTAGCAGAAATTACAGCTCAAGAAACAGAGCTCAAGGGAAAGGTAACCGCAGTAGAAGTTATGTATTGTTGAATACTTTCAAGCGATTTTCAATTATCTATAATTAAGTAAACGGTCATTAAGATTTTGCTACTATGCATTATAGATTCCCCTCGAGTTCATTACTGTGCGGGTCTTGTTACCCCAGCAAAAGTATCAGATTTTTGAAATGTTTATGATGTTTGTGTTTTAGCATAAGAAGGTTAAAGCATTTACAATATTCGATAGCCACTGAATATTGCAGTTGCTTTGCCGATTCCCAGTTGTATAAAATCCCAAGGATTACCCCACGATGTAAAATCAAATCTGATTTCTCTAATCAATCAGACAGCCTTACCATCGATCTACCAGACCTCGGATTAAAGTTTAGGAATGCCTAATCCAGCGAAGGCAATCGAGGGTGGTTTTAGAACAACATTTTCTAATGCTGAATGGCAAGGGAGCGCAGATTTGAGCAACAGAAAGCCATTTGTGTCTAACGTGACAAGTTAGTTCTAGTTTAGTAACCTTCAAGTACTTGATGCAAATCTCTAAAGAAGCTCGAAATACGTCGCTATGAGAGATTTAATCCATGCTTGACAAGACAGTCCATCTGGGTTAATGCTGCGGCAATAAAAAGCCCTTCTGGTTCATAGTTCTATCAAGTTTGCTTTACAATATACAAAGCTATTGGTCTCTTGACATTCCAAAGCTAATTTATATTCACTGGATATATATGCAGAACTTTTATGTTTCCTAATTTTTTGCTCAAACAAAATGTACTTAATAAAGTCTGATTGAAGTAACACCAAAATAGCGGTCGAGATTTGAGCATCTTTGAAACGACTGAATTGTATGTAAATTCTAAAGAAAAATATTAATTTCCTCAGTATTTCTGACAACATAAACGTATCATAAATTTGAGCGTACAGTATTTACTGTAAGGAATTCACAATATACAAGAGCCGAATGCACGCTGTTTTGAGTTGGGGACTGTTCTATTCTACAGTGCTTTAATGGTAATCTGCTAGTCTCAATAGACTAGACTGACCATGTATCTCCATTACAAGGTCAGATATTGTCAGGGACTGTATTTATTTTACCAAAGCCTGTTGGGCTGTCAGTCTTAAGTTCAGTGTGTACTTAATTGTACAAACATCGCCTTTATGTATTGTAAAATTGTATAAAATTAACTCGATATCTGTGTTATTCCATCCATAACGAGACGCAAGTTTTCAGTTGCTAGGGATAAAATTGATTCCAGTATCTCCCAGTAACTGTTTTACAGACCTGTGGGACTGAAGACCCGTTGTCTTTGCATAGGAATCGCTATATAACGATCACTTATGTCATTAGAGGAAATAATGTTTCTCTTATTGAATATATGGATTAGGGTTCATAAAACTGAACGTTTTCGAGCTCCAGCTGTCATCCAAATTTCGCGCAAAGTTTAAAGGACAGTACAGATGTTTAAAAGACGCTAAATCACTCGAAGCAAATATCATATTGATGATGCCAAGTAAAACCACAATAAGCTTATATTCTCGTGTTTTTTCTTAATGTTTATACATTAATTAACACTGGAGCTTTTATAGTCTTAATCACTGTATGTAGTTTGTATTTATTTCTGTTCATTTTAGCACACAGAAATACTTTTGTATTTAATCCATTTAAAGCCGTTTATATGTGTCTTATAAACTAGGAATACAGAGCAAGGATTGCATTATTTGCTACGATATTAACTGTTTTTAATGGCTGGGTGATTTGTTTAGTTGTTATGGCTTTCGATGTTTTCTTGTTTTGTTCTAAATCATAACAAAACATTCTTGCCAGTTTAATAATGCCCTGGGCTGAGTACCTGTAGTCACCGTCGATTGGACGATCAAAAAATACTAATCGAACTATGATTATAAGCCGATCGTGTCTTCTAGAAGAAGTTACATGCTGGAGGAGATAGGTTTCTTTTGAATTTAACGTTTCGGCGAATGTTTTATTGTGTTTAAGCCTATTAAGTGTCTATATTGTTAATGATCTCCTGCGGCGAGAATAGAACATATTACTGAATAAAACAGCATGACTTTTTAAGCAATAATAAAGAACGGGTTACCGTGGTTGTATTTCATCGATAAAACACACCAATTTTTTTAACTATAATGAAGAAAGATGCATTCGTTTGCGACCCTGGGTCGGTTAATAACCGGGATGAAATATAGCTCGCTTTACGACCAATCAGGTAGTGCTTGTGTAAAAACAGTGTTGATTGTTGATAAGAACTACATTGTTGTTAATGACGTCTTGAAAGTGAGTAAAAAGTATTGACAAACACTGAACATGATAATGCTTTTCATGTACCGTTAGTTGTTGATGGAATATCAAGTGTATTGAAACATATTGAAAAATGTTTTACACGATTTGGTATCTAATAATTTCAAATATAATTGAAGTAAATAATAATACAACTAATGGAAACAATGGAATCAAGGCACCTGCTGTAATGTGTATTGCTTTAATATATCATCTATTGGTTTCACGGGTGACTGTATTTTGTTTTATTGTTATATTAATTTATTTAGCATCAAATCTAAAGATGCGTTGTGGGACGTTTCCACTAAAAAAGTGACCAAAAACCACTTTGAAGTAAAAAAGCGCAAAATATGTTTCCTGAATATTAGCAAAAATATCAGCACTGAACTTCAGATTATTCAAATATATTGTATATAATATGTGTGGATATAGATATTTTTAATTTTTCCAATGTGTTTTCCTCCGTCAAGGTATAGCAAACAAGTTGTTCAGTTGTTCACGTCGCTTTGCGATAATTGGGAGCTTTTTCTTAAGAAAGTAGCTCTGAGCTTGATAAAATTAAATATATTGTATATAGTATGTGGAAATATATATTTTTAATTTTTCCAATGTGTTTTCCTCCGTCAAGGTATAGCAAACAAGTTGTGCAGTTGTTCACGTCGCTTTGCGATGATTGGGAGCTTTTTCTTAAGAAAGTAGCTTTGAGCTTGATAAAATTAAATATATTGTATATAGTATGTGGATGTAGATATTTTTAATTTTTCCAATGTGTTTTTCCTTCGTCAAGGTATAGCTAACGAGTTGTGCATTTGCTCACGTTGCTTTCCGATGATTGGGAGAGCTTTTTTCTAAAGAAAGTAGCTACAATTTGTAGCTTGATAAAATTGTTTAGAATGCATGTCAGCACAAGATGGCGCTAAATAATAAAGGCCATTGCGCTCAGGTGAAATTCTTTTTGATCTTTAAACCCTTTTTGTTATAAAATGTTTCACATATATGAATAGTTCTTACGAATATCATGTGAAAGTCAAGCTGAGACACAGACAACGTCTAAGTATTCAAAATGAAAGTGACGCCCTTTTATGGGGAAGATTTTATATTCTCTCTGTGTGTTAGAATACGTGCAGAATTTCACTGGATGCTTCGTGCGTGTTCAAACGTGCAGTACAGCCTCGAAAACATCTTCGTAACAGGTGACTTTTAATGAATACTTACCATGCCAAGTGGCACGGTGTTTGTTAGGAACAAAGCATTGAAAAAAAGCAATATCTTCAACAAGTAGTTCTAGAAAGTTCTTTTGACACATTAGAATTTTTGAAATTCTCAATCAAATTTCTTTAATATTCATGCTTCAAAAATAACAAAGTAAAAATAACTTAGATATAACTCAGGCATATCATCAAAAAACGTATATTTCTGTCTTTGTTTCTCCCAAGTGAAAGTGAATTTAATTGTAACGTAAAACATTTCCTTCTTTGTAACATGTGACATGTCCGCCATTTTTCAAATGACGTCATAGTGAAACAGCATCTGCCGGTTCAATGCAACCCTTAGGCGGTCTTATTAATTTGGTGCCAATGTTTACACCTCAGCACTTCAGCTGCATTAAACAACATTTATATACACTATTGAGAAAATGTCTGGATTTTTACATATTAAATATGTAAGCACTTATTAATAGTGCAGTTGGACAGCGGATGATGTAGAAAATGCTAACCAGGTGTCTGACAACCACAGGCTTCCCAAGGTGATAACTGAGGGCCTGGGAAAGGGGTTGCAGACATGTTTGGGCTAAAATAGTTCAGGGTGTTTTTGCATACCTTTAATCGTTATGACTCTTGAGTCGAGTATGGATTCAACACCTTGTCGAAAGGTTATTGCTGTACAGCAACAAAGTGCAGTTCAGTCTTGACGCACTAGCATAGTCGAAATACTTTATTCGCCAGATTGGATGATGTGAGATGATCGTTCTAAAAAAGGAAAAAAGAAGAAAAGTACAGAAATGATAATAAGATAATAATAATAGTCTGTATTGAAAAAATAATATACCTTCATACAAAACGTGAAGGTTTACAAGATATAAATGGATATATATATAAAGATTGAGAATTATTATGTACATAGATAAAATAGCATTAAGTTTATATAAAGTTAAAGAGGCATCTGTTTATAAAAGTTTTTTTAAAACGTTCAGTTTTTATTCTTAGAGAAATTAATATAGTTTTTTAGTGGAGGAAAAAAGAAATATCAGAAATTAAGGAAGTGATCAAATAAATAAAAAATCGACGTATTGTGAAATGAAGCGGCCTGAAAATAGGCGCGTTAGTCAAAAAAATGCAACATTGGTACTCAACATAAATAGGCTTTCTGCATGCAACAGTCACATGGTACTAAATCCTCTATGACAAAAGAATGTAAACAACCTCAAAAACAAAAAGAAACGCAGCCTGCAAACTTGACTTTTCTTTATCGGAACATCCCAGTGGGTATTTTGCCATTCAGTATGATGGATTTAGTATCATTTGACCGTTTCATGCAAAAGGCATATTTACAAAGTAACATTTAGGGAGCTGATAGATACAGTCAACTCTCTCGTAAGCGACCACCTCGGAATCAGGAAAAAGTGGTCGCTTACCAGAGATGGTCGCTTACGAGAAAGTTTTTTTTACAGATTTTATACTGGGAAACTGAACAAAACGGGAAATTTAAAAGGTGGTCGCTTACGGGAGATGGTCGCTTACTACAGTGGTCGTTCAAAGAGAGTTAACTGTGTATTTTCTCATAACTCCAGACTAAGTTTAACCGATTAAGCCAGATGTCTTTTTTTATATTCTCATTGTTTTATTAAGTGCAAACCGAGTCATGAATCGAGAAATTTATAATATGGTCATAGTCTCTCAATTTTCATGACAAAGCCGGATTGTTGTTGTTTAGAAACCACTTAGATCTCTAAAATCGTCTTGGCTTGAAATAAATAAATATGATAACGATCTTTATTCAGCGAATTAGCATTATGCATGGATATCTTCTTTTTCCGGCTATATATCTTTTCAAGCTTTCACTGATTACCCATAATGCACGCGTTTGCTTAGAGCGCGAAAATTATTGTTGCTGACAGCCGTCACATTTTAGGTATTCATGCCCGCCGATAAAGGTGAAAACATTGGCCTTCTGTGTGGTAGTGTTTCAACCTTGATGACTGATTAACAAGGGTCCATTTCACAGATCGGTCAAATCCGTCAAAAAAATATGTTAAACAGTGTTTACTTGACCCACACTTTCATCATATTTGGAAGTCATGAATATAGAAAATGTTGACGGCGATAATCGGAATGTAATTTCGTTCGACCCTTTATACATCTTAACATCGCTCTTCTTGTAATTAAGACACATCTAGAAACCGCAAATTGAATTCTTGAAAAGAACAAACATGAAAGGCGTTCCTTCGTTTTAAGTTCTCTGTGGGTCTGAAGAAAAACTAATGGACTTTTAACCAAATATGGCTGCCAATAAACTTCCACTCATGAATGACGTCATGCTGTTCTGTTAAAGTGCATGATGGTATGGATAAATGTATCAAAATGGAAGATGCCTTGAAAACTACAAAGTTTGTTTTCAAATTTTTTTATTTAAATTGTCGCCCGGTTTATTTTCGATCAATATTCGGTAATTTTGATAAATCTATCATTTTACCAGGCATTTCACGTTCTGTTGACATTCAACATCATTTCTCTGTGATCATTAAATCAGTTGATTTCAAAAGTCATGTGCTAATGTAGTCTCCTTCGCAGCCTCCCCTTTTGTCGGGCTTCCTGTCCTTCTTTTGGGAGGGACAGGAAGCCCAAGAAAAGGGGAGGCTGCGAAGGAGACTAGTGCTAATGATAATTTCGTTTAATTTGCAGTTGGACGAAACCAAAAAAATCGACGAGCGACGAAAACTTCGAGCAGAGTTACGAGCATTACGAGCCAAAAAAGAAAAGCTTGAAAATGAAAATGGAAATGGAAAGAAAATTGTCAGCACGATCTCTACTTCACCAGTAGTAATTTCTATGAACAAACGCTCTGATCACTTTGATAATAAAATATCCAAATATATAGAACCGGAACCAGTTACTATAACAATACCGAAAAACGACGACCAGCCGAAAGTCGCCCGAAGCACTTTTAAATTTGAAATGAAAAGTGCTCGTGTTGAGCCTGGCAATAGATATCAGATCAACGGAGTTGAAGAAAAACGACCAAGAATAAACAACGAAGACTTAAACAACAATAACCAAGAAAACATGACAAGCAGTGTTGCGCCTAAGCGCATGAGCAGAAGGGCCTCCCTGGTGGAGCTGTTCAAAATCGAAGAAGATAACAAGGGTGGGGTGCGTAGACCTCGTACCGCACAACCTGATATACCTGAAAGTGCAAAAGTCAGCGGTCCTCCGTCGTCGCGCAGGGACGTTAAAAAGACCGATGATCAAACCAAGCAAGAGCTTATTCAAAATCTCGGACGCCTGCGCAGTAGAAGAAGATCTGTGCGCGAGATTCAGAACCGGGACGAGCTGGAAGGTTTAATGTATGTCAAGCAAGGGGATGCAGTGAAACTTGTTAGTACGACCAAAGGCGACGATGAAGTCAAGGAAGAAAGACGTATTCGAAGAAGTTCACGACGCGAAATGCAGGAGAAGATGAAATTCGAAGGTGGTTTGATCAAAAAGATTGAAGCTAAAGAAGAAGTGCTGTCTCCTTTAAAAGAGGAGAGTCCATCCCCTGCGTCAACTGCCAATCAACGGTTCAACTATAGTAACAATAACGTTGTGAATAGAGCGCCACCGCCGAAACAAGAGGATCCACCGTCGTATGGTGGAAATAGATTTGGTAGCAGAAATGATGCCCCACAACCTGGGAGGTTGGCAGGGGGCGGTCGTCCTGGACAGCCCAAGTCATTCCTTGCTGGAAAAGAGGAGGTTGGTGTTTTAGCCATGTATATGTCTATAAAAATGTTTATTGTGTTATTTTTGCTGTCATTTATTTATTCTATCATTTACTAATTTATTCTTTTTCTTTGTGTATTAGTTATTTTTGTGGTTACTCCGTTACGGAGTCATCCAATATGTCGTCGCGATGTAAGCGAGCAAAAAATCTGTAACACCCGCCTTATACGCGATTCTTTTCCGAAATCGTTACGATCATTTCACGATCGATATCGCAGCAGAAAGGCCACGCCTCGTCGAGTTTTTGAGTAACCACATGCGCTCTAATAGCGACTTTAATTATTGAACGGTCTTCATCTTTATAAGTTGATTGTTACTCGTCATTACGTGTCTCTCACAGTTTTTAGGGTTTTTTTATCTGCTTGTTCACTTGTCAGCGTCGTTAGTTGGTTTAGTCTTATTTTGGTGTTTTTGTTGAGGCAACAATGCATCCCTTATTATTCCGGTACACAAAGAAGCACCTCGACAACAAGTGCATCACGAATTTTTCGTCTAAAATTCTAAATAGCATCTCTTTTACCCATAGGCACCTGCTCCCACTAAACTTTCAGGCTCTGTGGCCGACAGGATGAAATACTTTAGACAACAAGCCGAGTTAGAGAAAAAAGCAGCTAAAAAGCAAATGCCAGTGAAATCACCGGCCCCAGCACCGACTCCAGCGAAACCCCCTACACCGTCAAGCGCACCGTCCCCGACGACTCCAAATGAACCTAAGGAGAGGGTCTCATTAAAGAAGGCTCCCGATCCAAACAAGGCGTAAGTGGGTTCTTGTCGTTGCCATAAGACGAAAAATACAAACTTGGTTTTCATGATGTCACACCCTAAACACCAATTGTTTTGCAACATTGGATGCACAATTTTGCAATACCAGATTGCAGATAGATCCCAAAAGGGTAAAATGAAGTGTCAGTTGCCAGCCTCCTCGTGTGAGCAGGCCCTGAGAAATCATTTATGCTCTATGGAATAAATATGTCAGTCTTGTTCGCTGACCAATTGAAATTGTTGTTTTTAGACCTAGAGAATTAAAGAAAAAGCCTCAACTTAAACGTCAAATGTCCGTTTCTTCGCTTATTCTTACTTGGTGTAAAGACGTTACTTCTGGATATCCGGTAAGAGGAACCTTACCTTATTTCATTTTTTATTTATTCATTCATTTATTTCATTTTTATTTTTTTCCCTTCTTATTTTTCTTGATGCTGCCAATTTCAGGCTGTGCCATTCAATGTTAACTGGTTTTGGCAATTAGGAAAATTTCAATATTTTTACTCTACTCTTTTTTTAATCCTTGCGGAAAGAAAAAGGAACTTTTTTATGTATGAATATATTGATCTGATTGTATTCATCTTTCTCTGTTTTATTGCAGGGAGTTAACATAACAAATTTCAGTGGTAGTTTCGCCAATGGCTTAGCATTCTGCGCTCTTGTACACAAATTCAACCCGGACAAGTTTGATTTCAATTCTCTCAGCGCTGAAAACCGACGATATAATTTCCAGTTGGCTTTCGATACCGCCAGGTAATATAGATAGAACTCAAGCTCTAATAGGCTCAATGAGAGATAGTATGCGTGCACCGATTGGCTCAGCAACAATACTTTGTGAGATAAAACAAAGAGACTGATTGGTTAGTCCGCGATATAAACCGGTCTTTGTGTAGCAAAGCATGATGGTAGTTGGTCCTCGTACTTTTTTATGTCCGAAGCAGTCCTTCTTAGCACTTTTTGCTTTTTAGTAGTTCCGCCGTTTCTACCAAGAAAATGTAAAATCAGCCCTTAGGGAGATATTTTAGGATCTACGAGTACTGCAACTCCCATCATGCTTTGCTGCACAAAATGGCGTCTAAATTGCCTATTGTTTTATATGCAAATCGTTGAATAACGTTATTTCTATTGCTTTTCACAGTTCTGTTGGTATTCCAGCTCTGCTCGACGTAGAGGACATGTTCCGACTGAAAAAGCCCGAACCAAGAAGTGTGCAATGTTATGTACAGATGATATTTAGCAAGTATCGTCCAAAAGATTTGGATATGTCTAATCTAATCATAGCTTAAGCTATAGTGTATTAATATTGTTAACCTAGTTTATGAATTATTAACGTATTCTCGTGGTTTCACTGGCTTATGAAAGACTTTCATTGGCACAGTCGTTTTAAACAAAAACAAACAAAACAAATTCGTCTAGTACAATTGAGTAGACACGGAACCATTGTTTCCTTTGTTGTCTATGTGACGTATGTCACGAATTAAAGGGCCTTGGTTGACCGGCATTCCATGCGAGCTTTTGTTCGTGTTCGAAAATAACAATAAATTGTATTATGAGCGAAAAAGTGCTCTTTATTATCCCTTTATGCTTTATAAGTGGGGATTTGGCATGACTGAATCGCAAACCAAACCGACGAATGATATTTGAAGTCACATCATTTTTCATATATGAAAAATCTAAAATACGATCGCACTGAATGCTGGTTGACCATGGATAATTGGGTGAAAAGAAAATAGTGAATTTTGAGGGACATACTGAGTGCGAAGTGCGCTCTCTCTATAGGTACGATGGTGCTTATGACCGAGTATCGTACCCCTTAAACAGCGAAAATAGACTATACTTTGTTTTACCTCTATTGGCGTTAGTTGTGATGGCTTCTTTAATGGTGTCTTAAAATATAAAGAGAGTATGAATGCAAAATAGAAATTGGACAAGCATAAACACCAAACTATTTTACTTAAACCCTGGTTTAAAGCATATTCGAATAACAATGTCGTTGAAAAAGCCTGCAGCCCGCAAGTTCTCATGGATAGTCATTATTTCAATTTAATAGAGATAATCCATGATGCCTTGCGGTCCGAAGCATTAGGCTTAACAACGTAGGTTGCCCTGTCACATAATGACGTAACATCAAAGCATTTTTGTAACGCAAAGAATTATGATCACCAGACGGGGTAAAATGGCAACAAGGGAAAAATACGAAAAAAACATAGATTCATAATATATATCAATTGTAGATTAGAGATTTGGTCCGACCATATTTCCATTGTTTTCAGTGAGTCTACTGTGTCTACTGTAAACAAGCTACAACGTTGTTGTGTCACAGGGCAACTGAATTTGAAATTAATATTTGAAAAGGCAACGGAGAGTTGTGGAAGAGGTAACGGAGAGTTGTCGAAGTGGTAACGGAGAGTTGTCGAATAGGTAACAGAGAGTTGTCGAATAGGTAACGAGAGTAGCCGAAGAGGTAACGGAGAGTTGTCAAAGAGGTAACGCGGAGAGTTGTCGAAGAGGTAACGGAGAGTTGTCGAAGAGGTAACGGAGAGTTGTCAAAGAGGTAACGCGGAGAGTTGTCGAAGAGGTAACGGAGAGTTGTCGAAGAGGTAACGGAGAGTTGTCAAAGAGGTAACGCGGAGAGTTGTCGAAGAGGTAACGGAGAGTTGTCGAAGAGGTAACGGAGAGTGTCGGAGAGATATCGAAGAGTTGTCGGTGATGTATTGGAGAGTCATTGGACACTGTCAAGGAGAATTATGGGAACATGCTCAATAAGTCGAAACAGCTGACTATAGTTCTCGTCTTCCACGAGTTGAATGGCTTGTCCTTATAAATCATAGAAAGTGGGTTGGTAACAGAAACGTCTCAAAGATTTAGTTTAAAATATATATTTCTCATGCTATTACTCGGGTCCCAGCACTCTATAAGCCAACAACAGTGGCTCTACTCGCAACAGGAATCCCAACCGATTCGGGTACATGGATCGTACATCTCCGATTGAATTTTGAATATAATCTATATTTTTTTTATTGTGTATTTTTGATATTGTGAAATTGTTGCTTTGAATACTAGCAGCAAAACCTCAGAGACCTTTTATAAAGTATTATTTTGTTCACTATATTAATTTATGTAATTTGAGATGGATAGTTTTTGGTAGAAAAATAAATTTGTTGCATTCCATGGTATTGTTGTTGTTTCTAAATGACGTCATAATATACCAGCCAGACATAGCCTGCAGAGCTAGCTATTAAAAGAATTCCACATCGTCTGACCCCCTCCCTCCACAAAGAAGAGCCACTTACGACTGGTAAAACCCTTCTTTCGCAGCCGTCCCTGTTATCGTCACGCAACATTAGAGTCAATTTCGTATGAGTGGGAAACGGACGGTACTGTACTGTAACCGTAATCGTACTGTAACCAAATCCCATTGGTTCACAAAAATTGTCCGGTAACTGTACGGTAATTTCTACCGTACGTTTCCCACTCACACGAAATTGACTCTATTACAGATTAACAGAGATTTATACAGAGGTGACCATTAATAAAGTGCTTCTTGCATGAAAATGCTCTTATTTCAAAACTTCAAGCAATACAAATATATGACTCATTTATATCTATTAAAAACAACTGGGTGATTTGAGAAAATGCGACTAGCCAATCAGCGCAAAGCTGACAAGCTTATGTTGTAAACATAACCCCCCGACRVRAGGAATTTGCACAGCAAAACTCGACCCAGTGGAGTAGGCTGCCTGCCATTTTATTCTATCCGAAAAGTCAAAGCTAAAACGCAAAGAGAAATTGAAAATCTTTATAAAATAGCTTTTATTAAATGTCAATCAAATATTTATCGTTATAGAAATAGAATTTTATCTTAAAATGAAATAACAAATATTTTTGTCTTTAATGCCAAGAGACTCCCCTCTCTGATAAAAATAATTGGTCTGTGTTCTACGCGGGTTCTCCATTGCATGCGAAGCAATGGCCAACTTCACGAAGGCTTCAGAAGGTCGTTGAAGCGACGTTCAAAGTATCTTAGGAGGAACCATTGCAAATCCTTTTTCTTAGCTCTTGTTTCCTCTAAGCTTTGAGGTATCTACAACATCACTGAAAGAGCTAGAGCAGCTTAGCTCCACGTATTCCAATAGAGTTAAAGCGTTTAATATKTTTRGTAYAAATCAACTGTCGTAGTTCATCCTTTGTCGCATTTTCGGCAATAAGCCGCAAGCAACAGGTTGACGTTATGTAACAGGTCGGTTACACATTTACTAGCATTGACCTTACAACGAGAGCTAGAACGGTGACTGGGGTTTTTCGTGTAATGTCTTGATAGCGACTGTTTATGTTGCGAAACGACTCAAAACAAAATTCCATCGTGAAAAAAGTTCCACTAAATAATTCCCTTCTGAAAAACACGTGTGTATTTAAGGTGGAAAAAGTTTCATATGAGCATTCAATTCTTAAAGGTTTAATTCTATAATCATTTTGTTTAGTTATGTAAATAAATTTAGCACGACTTGTACTGTTTATCTGAGTGAAAGGAGAGCTGCGGGTTTTCCCTTTCCTTTATTTACACTTTCAAATATGACCGCTTAACAAAAATGCACGGGCTCACTGGCTTACAACGTTGGCGAATCCATATGCAGGCCTGGTCGCAAATCAATCACCCAGAATTGCGGGAAAATATTTGTTTTGGAATTATCCCACATCAGAGAAAATTTGTTTCCAAAGATGGAAGAACAAAAGGATGGAATAAATGACGTCTGTGCCTGTGATATGGAGGTCATTCCTACAAACCTATGCCTTACGGACACCTCAGGAAAGTGTTCGTAATATAGAGGTACCTGTGATATGGCCAAAACTCAAATTAGTGTTTAACCTCTCTCTTAGGGACATTGAAATGCCAGAAAATTATTCGAAATATATAGGTGTCCACGCCTACAATGCAGTCTTCCAGCTCTCTTTATGTAGAGCTCCTCATATTACGAATTTGGCTCATTTGGTCCAAGTTCCTCTGCTGAATGGACTTCAATGATAGATAATGCGATGAATATACAAGGTCAGTTTGATTATTCAATAGTTGTTCAGCTTAATCTTCCTTTTCTTCCATAAACAATACCCCATTGGATCAATTGTACTAAATCTTTAGAATGTGACAACAGTCGCCCGGCAATGAAATAAATTTTCAAGTGTCTTCGAGCCAATGAATCACAAGAACACTTGAAAATATCACGGACTGCTTTCAAATTGTAAAGAATAAAGTATATGGCACCGAGGCTGGAGCTGATTGACGACTACCACCAAAAAGGACTATTCAATTATGTATTGTACAAATTGTATTAACGCATTGTAGTATTAATACCAAACGGATATAGTCTTATACATGGGATTATCTAATCCAAATAAATATTTTGAAGTTTATTTTTCAAGGTCACAGGGTGTGTCCGCCCCCCTGAGCAGAGTGTATTGTAAGTGGGTCATGGTGAGGCCTGTCTACGAGATGATGAGATTCAAACATCGTTTTCCACGCTTCAAAGGAGATATGGTTTGTTGACTACGATGATAGGTGTAGTATTGACAACTTGGCGTTAAACATTGAGGTTTTCACTTAGACCTGTCGCTTTCTGGAGGACCCGGTGCATGATAAAAGAATCTGTCATAGCCGTCGACCAGAAGTTTGATTAAGCATTCTCGAAGCAGTGATCAAAGGATCGCTTGGCGAAGGAACATTGTAATATCTCCAGGAGGTTTGTAGTCACGAAATAATTCTGATTTTTGCCTTGGATTTAACCTTTATTTTATTTGTTTGACTCGTGTCAAAACGTTTCCGTGGAATTAGGATATCGATTTCTTATTGGCTGGCCAAACTTACATGCTTACACTGTCCTTATAACCAGAGCGTTGTCTAGAATATTTATGTTAAAGAAATTATATTCAAAATAACATCAGCATGATAGATTTGCATGATGTAATCAATAAGGTACTACCTGCAGTCGTTCCAAAACTATTAGACCTTTCTAAATGTTTGACTATCTCCTTAGCTACCATTTGAAGCCCGAGTTATGGCATCTAATTGCCTACCACTTATCAGGCTCGATTATATGGACTCCAAACTTGTACAAAACTAATTAATACCAGAGGATCCTTGTATCGAAATGGAAACATTTACACAATTTAGTGGAAGCAATTTTAGCATTATGGTGTAATGATTGCTTTGTTGGATTTCGTACGCAAACAAACCCGTGTTTTCTTTAACATTCTATTAGTACAGCCATGATAGCATCAACCCTTATATAAATACATCTGGGTTAATGCATGCGATATGCGTATAAGTTTTCATAACTTGATTTGACAAAACATCACAAAGACTTCCAAGCGAAAGGCTTTATTCCATGTTCAACTTTCCAGCCCTTAAACAAATTGATCATTTGGTAACGTGAGGGGCTTTGCGTGCACTGCTTTCTACACGTCTCTAGTATCTACATATCCGAGCAAGAATGTCCCTCATATCGTTGTTTTGTGGTTATCATTGCAGCCGCTTAGTCACGTTTGATTCTATATCTCCGATGAACTCATCTAAGTCACATTGATTCACAGGTTTTGGTCACCGAGAGAGAGTAGACATGGCGCACAAACGCGGCTCCGTTGCCGATCGCATGGCTTTTTTCCGTAAAGCCATAGAAGAGGAGAAGAAGATGAACAGCCGAGGTCCCAGGAGACCTGTATCAGCGGACTTTTCAAACAACAATTTTCCCGGTAGTTACCGACCCCGATGGCAACCACCTTCTCAACTGCAAATGCAAAAGGAGAAACAGGAGAAACAAGAAAAACTGGAAAATGAGAAGCCGATTGAAGGCGCTTCGACTCAACAACAGGAGCAACCAGAGATTAAAGAAAGAAAGACAGAAAAAGTTGTCTCACAAAGGAAAGAGTAAGTTTATAGCTTGGATAAGATCAATTTGTGGTGTCAAAATTCAGTCTAGTACTTGGGGAGTATGCAAAGGAAAGGATACCGTGATTCGGAAGCCCGTTTGTACTTTCCGTGTCACTTTGTAACCATGGGCGATAAACGATACTGGAAGCTTCATTGCACTTCAATGAGCTATGCTAGAAAAATGTCCTTGGAAGTTCGCTTCAATAGTTATAAGTCAAAGCATTTATTTCGGACATTCGCCCGAATGATTTTAATCTTATCATTCCAGTACTTCGGTGCCTTTGAAGTGTCCACTCATCACAAAACTCGTGATAATTGTCATTAATTTTATCGTATTATGTAATCATTACATTTGCGGCAAGACAAAGTATAAGCCGTTATCAAATAATTTTCGCTGACACTGCATACGCCCTGCACGCTCCACCTCTACACTGAAGGCTTACTTTCGTGTACAAGACTCCCCACTAGTTTAGGGACATTATGGGAGAGGGCCGCTACCTAGTGGAAAAATATTTGTGACTTTATTCACTGAACGTTATTACGCTATATATAGTTAAAAGTTGGAACTCGTTAGAGACAGTCCTTATAGAGAAATCGGCCTATAGGAATCGAGCCGTCACCACTCTCGCGGCATTAACTGACTTAACTCATGATATGATTTCTCAATTAATTACATTAATTAGTGAACTAATTAATTAATTGATATAAATACAATATACGTACACATGTACTTTTGATTTCAATTGATATGTTAATGAGTTTTTGAGTGCGCGTGCTTGCAAAATTCTTACAGGATTACTTCAGATCACTCGAATTATGAAGTTTTAAGGGTACTATTTCTATAAGAAGTCAGAACCGCCAATGAGCCAAGTGGCCAGCACTATATAAAATTGAATTAGACTATAAAATTCAAAATGTCTTTTTTCACTGACAACAGCAGTCTAGCCTGATTTTCAGACAGCCTGGATCCGACGCTAACGGCTCGTCTGAAAATCAAGCTAACAGCAGTCTAGTACCCGGGCATTCTATATATGTGTCTTAAAACACCGTCTAACACGATATATTTTTCTAGGCCACGAGTACTGAAAAAGAAGCCCGAGTTAAAACGTCAAATGTCTGTATCGTCAGTGGTGCTGACGTGGTGTCAGGATGTCACAAAGGGTTACAAGGTATCACGGGGTATATAACTATGGGATGCCGGGTTCCACACTGAGTCAATATAAAATGCTTTGTCCGCTTAATCATATTGATTCTTTGAAATGCACTGTAGCGGTGAACAAATTTGCTTAAAATTCTTTGTTTTTGATTCCTCCGTATATTATTATATCATTGTTTTCCTTTCAAAAATATCCACTTACTTTTATCGTTTTTGTGGTTTTCGAGTAAACGAGACAGTGACTAAACTCATGAAAAAGTATGCAGTTTCGATGAAAATATTCTTATTCGTATAAACGAATCTTGAATAGTCCTTTTAATATTTCAACTATTCAGAATTTCTGGAGAGATTGCACAGTTACACACTCGAGGTGTTTTGTTTCGCAATTGTTCTGTTGGGAGTGAGCACGAAGTAGCTATCTAGAGCTCAGGTCTACTTTTCACTGCGTACAACTTGCAAAGTGTACGCTACTTCTCCACACTTTTGATGCAACTAAAACTCTACGGTATAGCATTTTGGCTTGCCGTTGCAAGTTATGCAAGTTTCTGAGAAAATTGCACATTTTAACAGCGCCTTCACATAAACCTAGGCCTACTGATAATAAATAAATTCCAGAAGACCTACTTTATAGCAGCTTCTTGAGCACCATTTGCTGCAAGGATCCATCGTCTGAGAGGTAGAAGCACGAACGACCTCGCACAAATTAAGCTGATACTTTTGGCAGCAAATCCATACCCTCGTGTTTATGAATATCGATTGTGGGTGTTCAATAAAGAAAATCACATTCCACGTGAAGAAACTATAGCCCTTTGTCGTGGAGTGCAGGATAAACCCGCTACAACCGATTGACACAATCAACCCGCTAAGACGGGTTGAGATACCAAAAAAATCTCTAGTATATACTGGGTGCCCAACCACAACTCCCTACAACCGATTGACAATCAACCCGCTAGTGCGGGCTGCATTTTCTGCTATTTTTGTTGTGCTAATGTTGACAAGCCTTATAGGATACGTTTACAAGTATATTTTTCCATGCATTTAGCGTGGATTTCACTAGCGCATAAGCATAGGAATAAGTACGAATCACGAGAGTCATATGCGCCAGTGAGAACGGGCTCAAAATAAGCATAAGCATGAGCACAAGAAAAACGAGCAAGGCTTGATCTTCTTGTACTTATCTCATGCTTATGCTCAGCGAGAACGGGACTGCATAAGGCATAAGCATAGCCTGGTACCGAAATAATACGCTCGTGCGCATGCTCAATGTCTTATGCTTATGTCGGGCCCGTTCTCACTGGCGCATGAGATTCTCATGCTTTTGCTTATGCTATGCTTATGCGGTAGTGAAATCCACGTAACGCTTTTAGCTAGGCCTAATGTTTACACGAAACCACGTGAAACGACAGCCGTATCCGGATAGTTTTTGAAGAAAAAGTCGGAAGTATACACACATAAGAATATAAGCGCTTAAAAATGAGTAAAACACTGAAGTCAGCACGTGAAGCATCCAGTGTTCGAAAATCGAATAAAGGCATAATTTAAAAGCTCAAACTAATGTCCTAGAAAACTAAACAATTTTTACATCTGAAAACAAATTTGTGCAATTCAGGTCGATGTTCAAATAGTAATGTCTGTGTGGCATATTAAAGTATTGTATTATCAACCTTAATCTAGAGGGTCAATAGGTAGACCACGAAGAATTCTGGAAAACTGCACAAAAACGATAAAATCGTTTAGAATCAACAAACTCTCTAGCGATAACCGATCTGTATTAAGTTCCTTATGCTTAAATGTCAGGCTAATCGAGATAAAAAACATTGAAATTAACAATGTTCACGCCATCAGCAATCAAACAAATTGATCATTTTCATCAACCATTCCCAGATTCAAAAGGTAAAAGATCGGCAGCCATGTTGGAGGAATGGACAATGGACACTAATCAGAAATCATTTGTTGAATTCCTCAAAGATGGCCGCTGTGACGTGTAGTGCAAACGAAGAATTGAGTGCCCCTTGGATAGATTTCAGAGCTTGGGGACTGCACAATCAGGGGGGGATATCGTATTTTGTTTCGTTTCGAGGGAGGGTAGTAATTTATTTTTTTGATTTTTTGGCTCATTTCTCAACCACTCATCCTGATAAATATTGCGCAGTCCCTAACGTGTTTTCGGTTGAAATGATCATATTAATATTTGAGAAGTACGCGCGTTAATTTTTTTTCTCGAATAAAGTCCCTTTTGGATTGCGTGAAAGGCACTTGATAATTTTAATAACATTAAATCTTTATCAAAGTCATCCTAGCTTCAGCACCTCTGCCATCCTTTTAAGGCTGATTTACACGGCACGATTGTCTCGTGCGATTTGTAGTATACGACTTGAATCGCGCAGTGTAAATGCCCCTACGACTTGTCTACAACAGTCGTACGCAACCTACGACTTGTAGTAGGATTTTGAACCACTGCTTAAAATCCTACGACTTTAGTAGGAAAATCATATACTACAAGTCGCGCGCGACAAATCGTATCGTGTATCAGCCTTTATACTTTGCGCGCACGTTCTCAGCTTTTAATCGTACTTTACCTTTAGGGTGTCGACATAAAGAATTTCAGTGGAAGTTTTACCAGTGGATTGGCGTTCTGCGCTCTCATACACAAGTTCAACCCAGACAAGTTTGATTATGACGCCCTTGAGCCTGAGAACAGAGAATACAACGTCAGACTGGCCTTTCGAACAGGAGTGTAAGTATTGCATGAAATACTTTTTTTTTTAGAACGCGCGTACTGGTTTTGACCAATCAGAGCGCAGTAAGATTAAACGTCATCCCTGTGTGTGTACTGAATAAAACACAGTTCTCGACCAATCAGATAGCGCGTTATATACCAAATAATATTCAAAATAAAAATACTTTGGAAAGTATGAGGGAAGTTGCGGCATCAGTGTACTATCTTGAAAAGTAAAAAGTGAAAAAAAAAAAGAAAAAAAAAGAATTATCAAAAATTCCACTAAATCTCAATCAAATGCATATCTTTTCTTATTTCACGCTTTAGAGAAGTTGGAATTCCAGAGCTTCTGACTGCAGACGAATTTCTTCGAATGGGGAGACGACCGGAGCCAAGAAGCGTCCAGTGTTATATTCAAATGATATTCAGCAAATACAAACCAAAGGATCTTGACATGTCGAACCTAAGAATAGCTTGATGGACTCAACGCAATATGTATGCCTCATTTTAAACAATTTGTAATCATATCATATTTTTTTATTTGCGCAATGATGTATTTTCATGTAATGAAAATTTAATATTTATAACAAGTGGTTATGTACTTCTGTAACAAGCCCTCTCCACAAGTGTTTTTACGCGGCGTCCTAGCCTGATTTGCAAGCTCTATTTCCTTCATAAGGAAATATCATCAGCAATTAGAGATGTGTGTGGACAAGGCTTGCATTTCTTTTAGTTTTTGCATGTTTGGTTGTTTGTTTGTTTTGTTTTTTTTTTTGGTCTAAGTATCCTGCACTCTAAGTGACTGGCGCGCCGTCCAGTTTCTGCTATCGATGCAATTTTAGCGAAAAAAAAGCAAAAAGGCTACAAACAAACAAAAATTTGCTAGTTTGATATCGGTCCGTCTGCGCCTTGGTGCAAACGACAAGACCTCGAACAAATCGCTAAGTCAAGCGAAAACCGCGCTCGTCTGCAAGTTTTCACGATACCTCTAACTACTTATGCTTACCTGCTAAACCGACGACTAAGAATAAATGTTTAGAGCACAAAACTGCTAAAATCTTCACTGAAAAAATGCAAACCTTCCGCACATTGTATTTGCATACTTTCTAACCATCTCCATTTCACAAGTCATGTAATCTTACTTGATCCAGCTCTCTGTAGATGGCCGGTTGACGAACTCCAAAGTTTTACGCTTTAAGAGCGGATGTCAGTAAAAATCAAAGATAACGTGCCAACTCTTGAAAAATCGATTTCGCTCATACTCTGAGCTTAGGTACCCTATTATATAAGATAAACAACCATGTATTTGGTTTTTGAAAATAACGTTTCATTTATGAGTAAATTGAGGCTTATGGTACTTTGCGAAACGAAACGAAACGAAATCTGTAGTTTGCGAAACTGTAGTTTGCGAAATCTGTAGTTTGCGAAACTGTACTTTGCGAAACTGTAGTTTGCGAAATCTGTAGTTTGCGAAACTGTAGTTTGCGAAATGTATTGTAAATTAAGCTTATTAAAGACTTCTACTCACTTTGATAAGCCCTCACATTTACCTTTATATCCTAGAGTTATTTCTTGCTTGCAAAAGTAGTNTTTTGATGTAGCTGACTGGGTATTATTCATGATGTGTAATCGGGATATAATATTATGACAAATAACGATGATTTGTGCTCATATAATTCTTTTATTTAAAATATTAAACCGTTCCACTCATGTACAGATTGCTTGACAGTAATCGGTTGTTTTAATGTATTTACAAAATATAATGGAGTATTTCTATAAAATATTTATGCAGACACTTTGGGCGCTTGCTGTAAATTGAACCCTCCGCCGGTAAATCTTGGTCCGTCTGTTCTTTGTGGTACGAATGGTGGTCCGCCGGCATTTTGTATTGCTCGATCACGCTCCCTGAAAAAATACACGCTTTAGTTAGTTTTTACTGCAAGATATTCCATTTCATCCCATTTCATCTTTCCATCCCATTCAATTCTTATTTAGGCAGAACTAGGTCTGATTAATTCAGAAAACGAAAGAAAATATACATCTGAATGGGAATCGCACTGAAAAACAACTAAAAGGGCAGCTTTCATGTGGTATAAATCTCGGTTTCCGTAGCCCTAAATGTATCCTTTTAATATTTCTTTTTAGCTTAGCCACCCCTTTTTATAGAGTACAAACACTAAAACTGTGCAACATAAATACGACTAAAATACTGCTAAATTATGCTAATTCTATTGTTTTCTAGTGTTTAATTAACACTATTTTGTAGTAAATAGTGGAAAGTGTTGCACACATTTAATGTCTGTACTCTAATGTACTGGTTCTACCACAGTTCTATTCTATTCTATTTCATTCTTATTCTCATTTAATTCCATTCCATTTCATTTTTACTCTATCCCATTCTTTTTATTCCAATTTACCTAAGATTTCATTCTGTTCTACATACCTTGCTTGCTGGTCTTTTCGTTTCTGCATGTAATATTTCTTCTTGGCATCTTGTAGTTCTTTTGCAAGTCTTTCGATTTCGTATTTATATTCTTTGACCTGTGCCTCGTACATATTGAGTTCAGAAGACATTCCTTTCATTTGTTTCGTCTTTTCTTTTAGCGTTTGTTGGTAAATGCTTAGTTGCTCGGCTACCTCGGGACCAGGCTGCCGCGCAAGTATCTGTTTTAATTCCATGTAAAGCTTTTCTTTTTCTTGGATGAGGAGTTCTTTTTCAACAACTTCTTCTGTCTTTTGAATTAGTCTTCGTTGTAGGGTTTGGATTTTCTGGATCATTTCGTAAGTGCTGGGGTCACTTCCCTAGAAAAAAAGTAAATTATCCGCAAAAATAAGCAATTGAAAGTGTCAATAATATTAAGGAGTTATAGGTTATTTTCACGAACTTCTATTAAACCTCTACCCTAATGACTGTCTACAATGTGTTTGAGACACAGAAGAAATTTCTTAAAGGGACACTGTCAATGGATGACATGCGCAGTAACAGTCTCACCTCGAACGGACTTTGAAAGTATAACCTTCGAGGTAAATCATTTTGTGGTGCTTTTGACACACTTTGGAATATTCTAGACGCCAACTTGGAGTTATAAACTTGAAAACACTAGCCTAGTGTTTTCAAGTTTACTCGCGCATGTCATCCATTGACAGTGTCCCTTTAAGTATATTTTTTATTACCTCTAGTTTTCGCCATCTGTGAATGTTCATGGGGTTTTCCAACTCTTCTTCTAACGCTTTGCATCGTGTCCTTTCTCGTAACAGTTCGCGTTGATGATGATAAACCTCGCGTCTTGAATAAGACATAAATAGGTTCAGTATCAAACGAACTGATTTACATGCAATAAAATGCTAGACATTGTCGCATCGAGAAAAGTCTCAATACTTACAAATCCTTTTAATAAGATATAACAGAATTTTTTTTAGAAAAAATTAAGAAAATTACCTCAGATCTTCCACATTAGCAACGCTCTTCGTTAGAATATTTTTTTCGCGTCTGAGCTTCTTGATTTCAAGTTTCAGGAGTCGAATGTCTTCGATACGTTGACGATATTGGATTTCACCTTTGTTAAGCGTTGATTGTTGGATTTTGATCTTCTCGTAAAGTAATGCTAACTCATCGTTGCGTCGCACAAGTTGAGTTCCAAGGATGTCTCTCTCGCCGATAACCTTATGGGGACAATAAAACAAATGTTAAATCCATACTCCTGCATATTGGAGGACGCAAATTTTGTTTTGCTTTGTGTTTTTCTTTTAAATTTAACCTCGTTTTGTCTTTTCTGGTTTTGTTGTTTGGTTTTGCTTTGCATTTGAAATTTGCACTGCTTTTTTTGTTTGGTCGTCGTTTTTGTAATTTTTAGCGCACTCTTAAGGAGTGCGCTTCATATCACTGGTCAATAACCCACGATTTTTCAGGAAGATCAACAATAAAGTAAAGCAAAAACGCATAGTGGATTGACAGTGATATTGTAGAAACCAAAGAATGCTTGCTCTCTTCTTCGTCCCCTTCCCCAGTTTATTGAAAAAGATTCTTACCTGATCAAGTTCTTTCTTCTGTCTCATTCTTTCCGAATCAGCTTCTGAAATAATCTTAAGGAGCTTTCGTTCCTCAGCTTCCTGTTGGTCTATGTAAGCTTTGGACTCTGCCGCTTGCTGCTTCATTCTTTGCAGCTCTGCTTTGAGCGCGTCTTTCTCTTTTTCAACTCTCTGGTGCTCCAAGTGCTCCTTGACGAGGGTTGCTTCCTTAGCTGTGATTTCTTCTTTGAGTTGGTCAATTTGGTGATTCATGATTTTGAGTTTTCGTTTCATTTCGGTGATTTCGTCTTGGGATTCAATCAAGTTTTTACTGTATAGGTTACGATCGCTTCGAACTGCCTCGTAAAGATTCTAGTGTAAAAGGGAGAAAGCAGAATTTAATTTCATTATATTCTTTGCCAACAAACGAACGAAGAACTAAGGCGACTTTAGTGGGTGGACAGCTAAAAACTTATTCAAACTTCAGAAGCAACTCATTGGTTGGCTTTGCTCAAGTGGTCCCGGTTTCATTAGATGGGCTGTAAGTACTTTCGCTGAAATCGCGATCAGATAAAATCTGGCTAAACGTAAAGGTTTTTTCCCCTTTAAATCCCATAAAACCATGTAATCCTCTTATGGTATCTTACCTGCTGTTGTTTAAGTTTCGTCTCTGCTTCCGCAATCTTCTTCTTGTAATCAAAGATCTGCATCTCCCTGACCTTGACATCTTCCATATGCTGAAGGACTTTCTGGGTGAGTTCACTGGCTTCATTGATATATCGATCACGTTCTTTCTCTAACTGGTAGATGATCTTGCGCTGCTTCTGAGCCTCGTCTTTGTAGTTCTATCAAACAACAAATGAGAGTATAATTCAGAATATGTATTGATCTTTTTCATCCATTCCCATGTTTTTCAAAAGATAAAAGACCGGCGGTCATGTTGGAGGAATGAACAATAGATACTAATGTTAAAGTCCCTCCAAGATGGCCGCTGTGACGTAACCTGAAAACTAAGAATTGGGATTTAGAAGAACCAAGTTAATATAAATTGTGATAGACTAGTCGCTGTATTGTTTTCAAACCACAATAAGAGAAAACCGAGAGTTAATTAAATATTTGCAGTTGATTATGTAAAATATCGTCCTCGAAGTTGAAAAACTTGCTAGGGAGTTGGTAACTACATTTCTAAAGTAGTGTACGTAAATTATTGCGCAGTTCGCGTTGAACTTTCAAAAATTCGTTGTGAACTTAGCTCAACTAAAATTTCATCCGATAAAATCTATGGGTGGGATACAATTAACGTTATCCTCCCTTTACAAAGAGATTTCGAAAATTTATAAAAGGTATGGTGTACCTGAATTTCTTGTTCTAAGTTCTTCTTGGTTTGTTCATGCAGCCTGACAACACCAAGTTGCTTTTGGGTTGCACCAGCAGCCTTGAGCAAGTTCTTGTTCAAAATGTCTCTCTCGCGGACAAGGTCATCGATGGCTTTTCTGTCTTGTTCTGACTGTTTTTTGCTTGCTTCCAGTTCTGTGTAGTCAAACATGAATATCGATTATCAAAAATAATGCTAAATCTGTGCAATAATATCCTATCTCTTCATAAGCAATTTGTTCTATAATTTATATTTAGTTACTGACTTAGGTTCTTGGGATTAAGGGCAAAGTAGTTAATAAAATAGGAGATGTTTCATAATATGAACTGTGCTAAAGTCAGATACAGTTGAATCTCTTCTAAGTGGACGCCCCTGAGAAAAGGAAATTGTGTCCCTTGGTTGGGCTGTCTGCCTATGTGAAAGTCTGAATAGAGTGTTGGTATGGAAGGAAGAAACGTGGGTTTCTGGGAAGGTGTCCACAACTAGAGCTGTCCATTTGTGAAAGTGTGTGCAAGTTGAGGTTCTGTTTTGCAGAAGCTCTGAACCATGAGTTCTTAATCCAGTTTTACCCTCTGGCAGTCCTCTAAATATAATAAAGTGTTTACCTTTCTCAAGACCAGCAATCTGACTCTTTAGTGTCTCTTTTTGTTGTTCAACCTCAAGCTTCTGATCTTCTACAGCTCTGAGCTTTCTTTGTATGGCCTCTCTCATCTTTGTCAGTCTGACAGTGTCCTGTTTTAAGCTGTTAATCTCGTCTTCTCTGGCTTTCAGTTCTGCAGCCTTCTGTGTGTTTTCAGATGCAAGTTGATCGCAATTCATGAGCTGTTGCTCGAAATCTTGTTGTACTTTAGTTAACCTTGCATTTAATAGATCTGTGTCTTTCATTGCCTTCTCATTCAGGATCTAAGGATTGAAAAATAAAACCATTGGGTCATTATCTCCCAAAAGACACACATTAAACAACATATTTTTCAACAAAGTCCAGCATTGTGAAATTAATCTCAAATCTAAGAATTGCGCTGCAAACTATGCATTTTCAGTTGAAAAAATATCTTGGTTTTAGGTAATGAAATTTTTTTTGTCAGAATCTAAAGGTGTGCTCAATCGATAACCATCTACATAAATGACTCTCATGCTAACAAATGTCAGGTCATATCACTCAGGGGGGAACTACCTTGTAAAAGAAAAGAGTCCCCCCCTGAAAAGGCTTGAACCAATCATGTTTGATAAATTTCCAAATGGTTCTCTCTTTGAAAAGTCATGCATGTGTTTTGAACAAATTCATATTATTTCTTACAGCAGAAACCGTTGCATCGCGACTTCAATCTTCAAAGGAAATAGTTGGGATTTAGGTTTTTCTGCGACTTGGGGTTGGAGCTTGATACTAAATCAGCCAATGATTGAACTAGTTTTCGAAAAGCTCCGCCCCTCAGATTGAAAGAAAGAACAAAATCCAGACAAACTTCAAAACAAAGAGATCGCGATGCAACGATTTCGGCTGTAATGTTTAGTTTTCAACCATGGATTTGGCTGTAGATTGCAAGGGCTTAGGCTTAGGGTGGTACAGATTTGGTTTAGATGGAAAATATCTTACCCTCTGTTCTTTGAGTTGTTGCTCAAGCTTTGCTATTTCTTCTTGTGATCTTTGAAGCTGGCTGTGCTTGGTTTTCAGCTCCAATGTTTTGTTTTCCAGCTCATTCTTGGCTGCTTTGAGTTCTTTTTCAATCTTCTCCTTTTTACGAGCTTCTCTCTGTGATTCATTACTGCGAACCTGGATATCTTCTTTCAGCTAAAAGTGAAAAAAATACAAATCAATTCCTGATTATATTTTAGCTTCTTAATTGATATTTAAAGTGAAGTTACAACAATATACTTGAGGCACCACATAATTCAGATTCAATGAGAACTGAGTTAATTGGATAATAGAGCAAAGAGTCAATATACTGAGTCGACAGAGTTTGCCAGAAGCCTAACTTTAACATAATATCATCATTACAACTTCCACAATTCACCTCAGCTATCTTCATTTCTGCTTCTTCCCTATCCTGCTCTGCTTTCTGTTGTTTTGATGTGGCATTTGCTAGTTCTTCTCTTTGTCTTGACACCTCGGCAAGCTTTTCGTCTCTTTCTTTTGTCAATTCATCTTTGATTTTTAGCAGTTCGTTTACACTAAGGTACAAAAATATGAGTTATTATAGTACAACAAGTATCTCAAAATGGATAAAAGCTTCTTGTCAAAGCTTGACTAAAAGAATTGATCCCTAAAATATTACCTAACAACAACCAAGACTGATTCAAGGACTAAATTATCATTTTCAAGGACCTTTCCTTCAAATTCAAGGAACATTTGCCTTAAATGACTTTTCAAAGACCTAGCTCAAAAATCAAGGACTTTTCAAGACTGTACGAACCCTGGTCTTCCAATCTCATCTTATCCTGATCTCAAACTTGATAAAAATTGGAAAATGTCATATCAGATCATCTAGGAAGGACCACTTGACAACCCTTATACCGCTTGGCAACCCTTGTAGAACAAGGCACAAATAGAACGTTTAGTAAATATTCCTCATTACCTGTGATCCTGTCCCATAGTTAGCCCAGCACCTTGTTCAACAAGTTTGCTTAGGTTTGCTATCTCTAGCTTCAGAGACTGAATAGTCTCTCTTGCTCTCTGCTCCTTGTCGTGTGCAGCATCGACCATCTTCCATGCTTTCTCAATCTCCTTCTTCAAGGAAGCAATTGTTGTTTGGTCTTCTTGAGAAAGTTTCAATGCTGTTTGAACTTTTGCTGCATTGGCAACTATCTCTGCATTCAATTCTCTACATTTTTGCATCAATCGCTTCTCACTTTCATGAGATTTCTTGAGCGCTCTGTGCAGTTTCTCATATTCAACTCTAAACTTTTCCAAGCTTTTATCTCCCATGAGTTCACCGAGAACCTTGAGAAAAAAATTAAAACGTATCAAGCTACCACTCCTACCATCTTTGAAAGGATCATTCTATGATGAGCGATTATAGAATACGTGTCCACGGTAGAAATGTTTTTCAGCTCTACTGATATTAATAAAGTGGACTGGTATTTTACAATGTTCCTCATAACTTACATGTAAACACGATTTTTATTCAAGGTTTTATAATTTTGATACGTTATATAAACGGCATAGTCTTCGCATATTCGCATTTCAGACACGATTTCCTTTATACCAGCTAAGAGCTACACAAGAGTCTCCCGCTAAACAAATTGTTCCATCTAAGACTTATATAAAAAGTTCAAGTTTGCCTTACTTCTTGGAAGTCTCTTTCCAAAGCTTCAAATGCATTTTCTTCGATGGCAGGTTTTTCTCCTTTCTTGTCAGCCTAGAACATTGCAAAACATCACCAAAAATAGTATCAAACTACTCCTTTCGCACTAAATCAATCAAAATTAAAATTAAAATATTGTTAAATGATCCCTTACCTCCATGATTGTGGAGATTTTTGTTCTGTCTGGTTTATTTGAACCGTTGATATTGGAGTTTCCTTTTGAGAACGTTTCTTTTCTTCGTTGTTTGATGTTCAAGATGGCGGATTAGAAACTATTTGTGTGACTGTAGTCATGACAACAACTCGACTACTGCCCAGTCTCCTAAAATTCACACGACCAAGTCTCGCGTCGTCAAATAATGAAATGAAATGGAGTTATATTTTAATCCACTTAGAAAAAAGTAATAACGTACAATCTAAAGCAAATTAATTAAAAATTAAGGTTATACAAAGAATTGACATTTTTATAAGAGCCGCGCGGAAACTGTGAAAAGAGAAAAGGTAAATTGACCCTCCCAGTGAATGAAGAAAATATTATTTTTAAATTATTTTTATTTTTCAAGTTGATATTTGACTTGCAGCGTCTGTAGACTGTTCGAATACCAACCATATCCGCATCACCTTTGAAAATCCGGTAATCGTGACCCTTGTTGTGCGGTCAATAACGTGTGCTCTACAAACTCACCTCTCAAACCGACCCCTCAGACTTCTATAAACCGGGCACCAACGACATTTTCAGTGGTGGAAATCATATGGCAACAAAAACACAAAAATTAGAAAGAAAGAGCAATGAAAGAAAACGGAATTATCGCAAGATCAAAAACAGTCTACTTCCTTAATAAAAACAGTTCATTTAAAAGCGCTCTGATCAAATGCGGTGAATTCAAGCCATTCAGAATCATTAAAAGTACTTGTCCAGACACTTGTCCTCCAAAAACTTCGGCATTTATTTTTTGAGAAGTGAAGTTTGAAAAAATGAAATATCTTTCAGGCCTTGGTAAAATTGATATAAACTCATGAGAAGTATTGAACAGTACTGTCACTGCTTCTAATTCTTCTAAAATTCTTCTAATTTTGCTCTCACAAAAACATTCTTACAAATTAAAAAGCACATTTATATTAAAGAGTCTGTTAAAACTTTATTACATCGTGAAAAAGTAAACAGTCATATGAATTTTCGCATTCTTATTTGATAATTCACATTGTTCATTTTATATCTTGCCTTTATAACTGCCCGAAATGGCAGCTGTTTCGGTATTGTGTTACTCCTATCAGCACCGCATATTCAATTAATATATTGATCGCGAATTTTTTTTTCTGCTCTTCATTTTTATTCAAAATTGATCCATTAGAATATCGTCAGGAAGCGTTCAAAACATACAGCTAAATTGAAAGCAGTTGGCTTTCCTGTTTGCCTTACAGCAACCAATGAGTTTTTGCGCGCTGACAATAAGCTTTTGTGATATTGTCAAGTTAGTATTCTTTGCAACGCCGGTGGTCGAGCCAGAAATGTCTCCGAGGGAACAATACAGCGTCGGTGAGTCGTGGCGACTCCCTTTGTTTGGCATTTCCTATTATAAAGCATGCCTTCTATTCCTTGCATTCCTATTGGTTGTTGGCTGCACAATACCTTCTTATAAACAACACAACGAAAACCCGAATATCAATTGTTTGTTGAGCCATTGTTCACGAAAAACTTCCAAATTCTCACTTTTTCTTCGACAAATTCGCTGAAAGAGAGTAAAAGACAACAGCAAAGCACTAGAAGACGAGAAAGCGAACACATTTTACTCGCAATTTGAGCTAAATTTTACGGAAGCTGTTTTCCCGCCTCATCACGTGTTTTTTAAGGTCACGTGATCGAAAATATGTCATTGGTGCGCCTTTGAGTTTGTATTTGAAGGGGAATTAGGAACAAAAATGGCTGCGGCTGTTTGTGAAGATGTAGGGACAGAAAACGAGCCCGAAATCCCTGGAGAAGTTAAAATAGAAAAGGTGGAACAACCAAAGACAAGCGACCAAAACTTCAATTGGAAAAATCAAACGACAACTGCCGTTATAGTGCAGTCGAATGCAGCACCTACTACGCTATGCGAGTCAACTGCGAACAACCAGATAAACAATGTAGTAGTTTCTGATTGTGCAGACCTTGACACCAGTCTCAAAGTGACTAGTTTGCCGTTGAAAACACAGATCATGCCTGGACCTTATTCCGATGTGCAGCTACCCAAAAAAGATGGACATATAAAGCGTCCAATGAACTCGTTCATGGTTTGGGCACAATCTGCTCGTCGCAAACTCGCAGAACAGTATCCACATGTCCACAATGCCGAACTTAGTAAAATGTTGGGCAAGTTGTGGAGAATGTTATCTGCTTCAGAGAAACAGCCATACGTAGACGAGGCTGCTAGGCTAGACAAAAGACACAAAGAGGACAACCCAGATTACAAATACAGGCCTCGACGTCGCCAGAAATCGCTAAAGCGACCTTATACTCAACCGCGAATGGTCGCAGGATGGCCGGCAGTACAGCAGGAATCGTTTAAGAATTCCCAAACGATTGCTATTAACGGGACTACTTCACCTAACAGCACTCTAGCATCGTCTGTTAGCGCCCCACAACAAGTGAATGTAGCCCAAGCATTTCCACAAGGCCAAGCCGTGACCGTGAACGCGAATAGTGGAGTGGCTTACACTACTCTCGGTGGTGTAGGGTTTATGCCCGGTGGTAGTATGATCATAAGACCAACCTTCGTTACAACTTCTGGTGGCAATGCAGTGGCTCTTCCGCAAGGGGTGACCGTCCAAGCTGTGCGACCACCAAATGTTACGGTCACAGTCGCATCGTCCTTAGCTACCCCGACGTACGCCATCCCCGTCAACCAACTGAGCACTGGTCAGATCATTGTTGCCGCTGCACCAGGAATGAACAACATTGTACCATGCAGTAACGAGCAGAATGGCGGGATAACGGTGGAAAAGTCACCAGAGGGGCTGATAGTTGTTGCGGCACCACAGCACATCCAACCAGCTTCTACAGAAGGGTTTACTTCGACAAGTGATGTGGCGCCGCGATCGAGTACGCCGAGCTCACCGACTACAGTAAGCACGAACTATCGACTAGAAAGCAACTCGGAAAACGAGGATAGCCCGTCAGTTCGAATCGACGAGCCAAGTATTGTCGTCAAAGCTGAACAAGGATGTCGAATTTAACAAGCTTTTCGATTAAAAATGCTTTATTTGTGGTAAGCAAAGACTTTTGGTATGAAACAAAACTACAATGTGTTTATTTATTTACTCTATTTCTCGCTAGACACCGAGTGAATTTCCAAAGTTTTGGAACTAAAAGAAAGGTACGCGCGCGCTTTCAAACGTTCTAGAATCATTGATCGGTCGTCAAATTCTTGTTGATTGCATATAACACAAAACTTTGTTTCTTTGTCCGTATGCCGATTGTCTTTGGAATGTAGGCTATGGCGGATGATCTCTTTGTTCTGAGTCCTTTGTTCATGACGGATAATACCTTTGTCTAAGCCGACGCCACTTTATTTCTAACATAGCGCAAGATAAGACCTTTTTTTATCTTCTCACACTAGTGAAATTTGATGGAAAAGAGAGCGATACATCGATTCAAGTCAGGGTTCTCAATGATGTTTAAAATTCATGCTTATTATATAAAACAAAGGGGATGTAAATTATTCATAAAATTGTACTGTTTTATGACAAGTCTCAACCTGCTATGAATTATTTTGCATACAAATGTGCCCACACTTGTTCTTAAGATTAAGTCCCTGTCGGCACATTTTCTTGGCAATCTCCTTATTGTTTCCGAAGAACAATGGAAATGGAAAATGCATAATGTGTTGTGGACAGAAAGTGATTTTTATTGCCAGTACTGTAAATTTTTCACTTTCTAGTTTATAGTTGGTTAGATTTGTTTTTCATTGTATAGGGTAAGGTTAGTCACTTCAAGTTGATACTCTCTTGACAAGAATCTTGAAAAGAGCATGCAAAGGGCCTGTTGAAATTTGAATTGATAGAGAGATTAATTATTAAACAGGTGGCAACACAGTCTATCAATGTTACCATCATTCACCTTATTACCAGTCACGTTTCAAAATTATTCTCGCATTCTTCAAATTTTTGTCAAAAAGTCTCAAATTTGATTTTTGTAAATTCTAGGGCTGCATTCAAATGAATTAAGTCCTTGCAAGACTTGTGATTCTATAACATTTGAAAGCACGCTGCGTAGACAATCAGATTCCAGCCTGTTAGCTAGCTATTTTGCATGCGATAAGCTATAAAATTATTTATTCACCAATCAACTATGGCTTCTAATCATGAAACCAGCTTTTAAGACTTTGGAAAGTTTTATCAAAAATAGTTATTAAATATGTGTAAAATGCACACTTGTAGGAATTGAAGCTAGATTTGTGAAAGTCAGTTTTCCTTGAAAGGTTGATTGTTTTTTGTCTAAGATGCTGTGATAATGAGTGTTATGTCTTCTGTTGTCACTATAGCTTTTTAGACAATGAGAACTTTGAAAGGTCAACTTGCTTGTACAAATGTGGCCTTGTACTGACAATTACCAGACAAAATACATTTTTTATTGCCATATCTTGTAATCAGCATTGAATTTCTGTAGTGTATTTATCATTTTTTTAGTATTTTAATAGAAAGGAGGTTGGTATGTGGGGAATTTGGTCTTGTTACAAGCATAGCGCAATGTAACTGGAGAAAACCAAAAGATGTTGTATTCTAGGTAAAATGGATTGTTTTGATATAAAGTAATAATTGCTCGATACTTAGTCTCCTCGCAGCCATTCTTAGCGCACCAGGGAGCCCACCAATACTACTCAATACTAAGAGTTTATGAGAGTGTGAAATTGAAAACATGACACTTAATTGTATTTCTTACAAGAGCAGTCAAAGTAATGCTTTGAAATGCCACAATTTCTTAAGAAAATTGATTTCTTTGGTATTGGAAAGGTTTTTATCAATTTGAAAAAAAGAACATTGATCAGTCTGCATTGGTCATTTTAACATCGAAATTCTTTATTTGTACTTAAGAGTGAAAGCAATATATCCTTGAAATATTTACAAAAAACTAATTTTTACTAAATTTGTAAAAACTATGATTAATTTAGTGTGGTCACTGGACCATGAAAGAGTATTGTAATGTAAGTGGTTGCTCGACTAATTGCAAATGCACATTTTTAAAATTTAGTATATTCACGCTTCGACTGTTTTTCACTAATTATACTAAATTTCACTATTTTAATTTAGTATTGCACGGATATATTGTTTGAACTATAACTTGTTAAGAGCTGTGAAAATTAGTTTACAAACTGGTTTTATTGGTGTAATAGCCTACTTTTGACTTACTAGACGAGTGACATTGTCCAAAACAAATGTCAATGAGAAATTTCATATAATTATTATATTCCTATCCTTTGATTTCTCCTCGTAACTAAATTCTTTATCTCTCAATAACAATAGCAAAATAAGACAATAGTAATATTTATTTACATGTATATGCAGCCAAAACAAAAAGGGATAAAACAGGTTTAAGACGATGTTCAAACTATTAAAAACCAGACTAGTTTTGTGAAATAATTGCTAGTTCAAACTGAAAGTAATACTTAAAGACGTTTTCCAGACACAACGCTAGAAACTTGAACCAAATCAGAGCAATGCATTTCAAGTGCATTTTGCTGGTCATTAAAAACCACCTCGTAACATTATTATAACGCTGGACAAGTCTGCATCAGGTGCGATTGTAATTTTAGTTTACATTAATATAGGTTTAGTTTAATTTCTTATAATTTTCAATGGTTTTTGATATTTACTTTCTATATATACATATATACACATATTATTATATCTGCCTGTATATTGATAAAAACAATGTGAAGTTGTATTCAGAGAAATGATTATAATGTAATTTTACGATTTCGAGTGAAATTTTTAGGTGTAATTGTAGTTTTTAAGTGTGTGATTTTCCATCGTCTGTGTAGATGGGTACAATGAGAACAATACTGATTGTTGTCTTTTGTTCCACACCAAATAAGCACAATCTACATTGTTTCATTTCACAGATGAAAGGAAAACACTATTATTTAGACCATTATGTTTGACTTCAGGAATTCGTATCTCTCAATGTTATGCTTTCATTGGACAGACCAAATTCACTATAATGTTTGTTTTCCTGCTTGACTATAGATTGAAAATTATTTTGCAAGAGTCTAACAAACTAAGTTTTCAATGTGCCTCAAGAATGTGCAACTTTGCGAAAGCATAACATGTAAGAACCACAGTTCCTTATGAATAAATTGATTATCGTATTGTATATTCCTTAAAACTATATCATTATAATAATTAATAGAGTGCAAAGTATATGCCTGTGAAATGGTCATGAATTGGAGTACAAACAAAACGTTTGCAACACTGTACTGAACAATAGAACACCAAAGAATTATTTCAGTTTAAGCAGTATTTAACAGAATTTGTTGCAAGCTTTTAGTACTTGTATTCTAGATTGAGGTCATTAAACCTGTGAAACAAAATTTGACTATTAAAGAGTGATAGACACAAAAGAAAACATGTAATTATGAGCATACTAATGTATATTAGTGTAATTTCTATTTCATGTTTTTCTTTGACCTCACTCTACCAAATAGTTGTAAAAAAAGAGAAAATTTTACCCCATAAAAAGTATGGCCTAACATCAAAAACGTATGAAGCCATACTTTTTACTCTGTAAAATTAATCATATTGCAGGGCATACCGCTAGTTACAACAGAAAATGGAATAATTTAGTACTATTTTTCTAGCTGCCTATTTCACAGACATATTCCTTGCATTCTACCATTTGTGATACAACTAGTTACTATGTAACTGAAAGAGTAATCAGTGATGAGGTTGACAATAATTATTAATACAAGAGTCAAACGACCATCCAAGTCTTTTCATATATTTAATCTTTAACTCATGCACGTCATGTAGTTTGATGTGCATTAAGACGTAAGTTGGAAAGAACAAAGACTTTTAGTGTGATGCTTGGGTGCTTGTGTTCTGGTTGGAAATGTAGTGTAGGTATTTTGTATGGTTCACAGTGAAGTGAAAATATAAAAAAAAGCTTTATCAAACTTTGATTGTTGTCATTGTATTTTTATTACTATATCATGTATGAAAAAAATGTTATTTCTTTTCATTCCTTTCTTTCTTAACTGAACTGACTCATCATTTCAATGTATATTTCTTGGTTAGCTAGCTGTCCAAATTATTTCCATTGAACCCATCCTTGGACCATAAATACTTTGTACAATGTGAAAGAAAATGTGATGAACAGGGGTATTTTCAGCTTTTAGGGGGGAGGGGGTACATGCTAACCCTGTACATCCACTTAGCTTTATCCCTGCAGAGAATCACACAAATGGACTAATGTCATTCTCTGCATGTTGAATTGTCAATTCCATTCTAATTCGTTTGTGTCAACTCATCTGATAACTCACAACTTGATTGCTGTGGTTTGTGGCAAGACAAGATGGCTACAGAATAACTTTGCTTAATTAGTATATAAATAGCGTTCATTGTGTCTTCTGGCAGCAGGTATGCATTTCGTTCTATACAACAATTTCACAGAAAAGATGTCGGAGATTAATGGGAAAATGGAGATTAAATAAGTGAAATGTGGGTAATGGAATTATTGATGGCATACCAAGACAGTATCCCACTCACTACTGGAAATTAGTTGAAGCAGATAGCATGTCTGTTTTATACAAGAGTACATAGGTTTGAATCAAGAGGCTGATGACATTGTGCTGTAATCTGTGGTTGGCACCAATCTATTGAAAGGCTAGTCAATTGGGCAGCCATTTTCAATGTTAGTGTCTCCATACTAATAGAAACTACTGTATGGGCATTGTTTTCATCTGTCTACAGCTGTAAAGACTTATCTTGCTACATATTGTTTTTAATGTATATCCAAAGAGAAATTCAGAATAATTTCAAAGATATTGCTGATACACGGCCAGAATTTGCCACAAAATTGACCTATCAGTTTCAAATCCTTCAATTTGGAAGGGTGGGAATTCAACCCTTCACTCCTAGCTAAGGGGCCGATCCAGTATTGTTTTTTGAAGGGGAGGGGTTGCAAAACTTAGACCTAGTGGAGAGACATATGTAGATCATTGAGATAGGAAGACTAGTTCGATCCAAAATTACTTCAGTTGGAGGGCAAGTATCACAGGATTCACAACCGGAAGTGAGTTAAAACCTTATGGAAAATAACTTCGTTAATTGTTGTTATCGATCATAAACTTTTATTTACTTCTTCTCTATGTTAAAAACGTAATTAACAGGGTATCTGAGGAGTAAAATGCTGCCATAAGTACCTAACCAATAACTTGTAACCTCCTCAACCCTTCCCCTAGATCCGCCCCTGTGGTTTTCACAAGGAATAAGCAACATTGAAGATAACACTGCAAGTAATTGACCATATGAAAAAACGAGCAGAGGACTGGGAATGAGCACATTAAACGCTCCATATATTTAAACATCTGTTTTCACCATATGAAGGAGTATATTTCAACTAATAAATTGGCAGAGTTTTAGTTTCAAATGTTGAATATCAGGAGAGCTACAAGCATTTGAAATGTAACAAAAAATGTGAAAGCGAGGTTGGTCAGGTCTCCATACTCATTTTCACTCAAACCTTTGCAACTGCCTTCAAACACCTGTAATTTCTGGTCCTTAAATGTTAGACCATTGAAACTTTCAGATCTTGATGTGTTCTTTCAACGGGCAGCAATGATACAATAAAAATATAAACTAAGGAGTTACGATAGCCACGCCCTTTTTCATATGGTCTATGGTTTGATAGAAACTACCCCACATAAGAACACACGACATTTTCTTCATTTGTTTTATTTTCATTTCATAATTGAATCCTAAACTTTACAATATAATTACTATATTTAATAAATAGAATTTGCGACACCATTATAATTTGTTTTAATAATCTGATAAATCATATGGATACTTTATCTGGCTGTTCTGAGGGCTGTCACATAAATACTTTTTTATCAGGTGACCTGACTTATGCACTGGCAGACCACTTCATGCAGTGTCGTGTGACCCCTTTATACAGTGTTGTGTGACCAACTTACAAGTACTTGTGACAACAGGTTTTGTGCCAGATATGGTTGTGTAAAAGCTTCAGAAAGCATTGAACGCTGCTTCATGTCAGTCTTGTAGTATAGGTGGGCATGTCATGACATAGCTTGTGCAACAAAAACATATATATATTCCAAAATTAAACAATAAACAATTCAAATTGAAGATAGCATTACTCTCAACAAAACCTGAAAAGGTTAGGGCACAGACGTTTTACTGTAGATACTGTATTGGCTTTTCACAGTAGTAAAATATGTTGTAAAATTTGTAGTAAATATATTTACAGACTTTCCCCACCACTGGTACTTAATATGAGGGAAAATATTTTAAAGGTTTGGTGCTCAATTTCTCTTAAAATAATTTTAACCATTTACCTTTAAATTTTTCAGAAATTGCATTCTTGGAGTAATTAAGTGAAATGCATTTTTTTATGTTTATGCAAATTAGCTTAAAATGTCATCATCGACGCCCACCTATTGCATATCAGTGTCTGCTTCATAAAGAATTAACCGATACACCAATCAAATGACAGAGCTGTCACACAACTCCCTATAAATCTGTCACACAACACTATGGAACTGTCACATGATAAAACTAGTCTTTAGACAGCTCAGACTTTCATCAAATTTTGTGTGACACGTGAGCTGTCACACAACTCCCTACTATGGAGCTGTGTAACACAACACACAGGAGACACAATAGCTCCATCAAATTTTGTGACACAGCTGTCACACAATTCCCTATGAAGTTGTTGCCCTAATGGTAGACAACACACGTTAGAGCTCCACAAAGTATTGTGTGACAACGTCGTGCAGGACTGTCACAAAACACTAACTATAATTGCTGGTTTTCAATTGGCATCTCATCAGCCATATTGTTGGCTGTTCATAGCACAAGTAAGGCACAAATCATGTGCTTCCAGGTCCTAAAGGGGAGGGAAGGGGCAGATCCAGGCGATGTCTATTGTTACATTAGACACGGCCCTTACACTACAATATTACATCATTTTGAGTCAGTGCTCTTTATGATACAATGAGTGGCAATATAATATTACAAATATGCACTTTTAGCAATAGCAATAAAAATATGCAGTTTTAGTTCATTAGCAATTGTTACATGGATCACAAGTCTACATTTCGTACAATTTATATTCCTATCTGGTCATTTCCTCATTTGTGACATCCCCCTTACGAATACTATCTGGATCCATCCCTGACAGGTTGAAAACCAGCATTTAAGTTGTCATGTAAGTCTTTAAGAATTCTATCATGGCTTCTTTGGCAAGCTTCTTTGCAATTACGAACAGACAATCACAAAGCATTTTGTGACTAATTATAGTCAAATGTTTGTTTTTCGTTAATGAAATGTACCCTCCTATCTCACTGAATAGTATAATAATAATAATGATATTCAGTAAGATTGTCCAGCATTAATATTAAAATAGTCTGCATTAAGGCACGATACAATTCACCAATGACAAACAAAATTTTTCTAATGTTGATAGCTGTACAATTCAAGGAAGCTAAAATATATATATACTTATCTATGCTTTCTTTCAAAAGTAATTTGATTTTTATATAATGAGGGACTGTCTGACACATTTAAACACAATCTTGTATTGCAAACTCTTGCGATTAACATTACCATAACATTTGCTGCTCTGTGTCATGGAAGACAGATATAACCACTTTTCACAATGTGTGAAAAGTGACCTCTCATGTGAAAATGTACACTAACGACTTTTTGTTAAACAGAGGTAAGTTGTTAACATGCTGAAAGCTAACAGCCACTTCACATATACAGGGTTTGTGCTACATTTTCAGTTCAAAATTTCAGGACTTTTCAAGAACTTTTTGAGCACAAAAATGCGATTTTCAAGGATTATTTTTGACAATAGTTTTTGATGTTTGTGGACGTTTCCAAAGGCGATTTTCAAAAATAGCCACATTCAACCCAAAAGCTAACAAGCAACATATCAATTCCATCAGATTCAAGGAGTTTTAGTGATTTTCCCATTTTCAAGGGCTTTTCAAGCTCTCTAGAAAACAAGTTTTCAATTCCAGGGCCTTTCAAGTAGTAGCACAAACCCTGATATAGTATTATAATAATTGTTGTTATTTTTAAAGGAAGCAGAACAGTACCCTACAAGTAGATTAAGTTTCAAGGTGAGGGTTGACAGTGCCTCTGTATGGTTCCCCTGTTTTGACTGACCATTTAGGCTGGTTATGTAAAAAGCTTATTGGCCTCCTTGTTAATTTAAGCAACCAAGTCTTGTGTTTAAAGCAGTTTTGGCTCCAGACAGCTATGTTGTTCAAAGCTTGATTGACGTTAAAAATGGTTAAATTCTTAAAATACTGAGCTAATCACACATTACTACATTTAATGAGACTTTGAACAACCAGGATTATTTGAAGCGTTCTTGTTGTAATAGCTTTATCAGCTGCTATTGTACACAATGAGAGAGACTTTTGCTAGCAGGGAAGAAGTATGACACCACAGATAACAGATTTTATTCATCTGGTTATTTGGATGGACAAATTGCATCAAGTGTCAACTTAAAAGTTTCCCTTCAATAAATATAAACCAACATACCAATAAACAGTGGCATTTCTTCATGAATTATTCCACCATTCAACTGATTACTTTATAGTTCAAGCGCACATAAGTTAAACAAGAAAACCTTTCAAATACATTAGACAAAAAAAAAACACATTAACTTAAAACTTAGAATAAGAAATTATAGTATATGTATGCTTATGACAATATTCATATTTTGTTTCTATCTATTTACCATTTCAATTACTTTCATTGTTTCATTTCATTTCTTGTACCTTTAGACAGAAAGGCAACAAACCTTTCTTGGACTTCCCACCGCGTAGTCGCAGGTCCAACCATAGTTGTTTGTTGGGGATGGTCTTGTCGTTCAAGACATCCATCTCATAGCTGTCGATGTCTACTCCTGAGAAAGATGACAACACTGAACTGCTGCTGACAGCACTGATGTTTGATTCAAGTTCCACATCAAGTTCATCCATTTGTTTTTTCTTTCTTGGCTGCAGCATGAGGAGTCGTGTTGCACCATCCAAATGATGGAAGATTTCAAGACCAAGCAGACTGGATTGCATGTTCGTGTTTAAAGTGCTAACGTCAGACGAGATCCAGCATTTGATGTAGTTGAAGTCTAACTGCAGCTGCTGGGCGCCATAGAAACTGAAAAAAAGGTTTCAGTTAAACATTTTATCCAATTTGAAGTCTGAGTTTTGAAGATAGTGAGAGAAGATCTAGTCATTTTGCATTTTTCATTATTTTTAAGTGGATCTATGCTCAGCTTATACTATTCTTGGGTTTCAACCACATGATCAAGAATCCAGAGAATTCAAAAACAAAGCTATCAGCACCATGTTGGATGACTGGACAAGCAAAACTAATAAGGAATGCTTTGTTATCATCATCCAACATGGCAGCAATGACGTAACATGAAACTAAGGAATTATGTGACAAGCCAATTACTAGTAATCTGCATTTTATGCCTGGTTCTTGTGATCAATATGCAACTGCAATGTTTATTTCTTGCATTTACATTACTTTTGTGCAGCAAGATATGTAAGCCTTCTTTTCAGCCTACCCTTTAGTCCGGCTTCTGGGCCCCTCTTAAAGGAGGGACAGGAAGCCTGTCAAAAGGTAGGCTTTGAAGGAAACTAAGTGTACTTCTGCACACTTCTATAGTATTTATACCTGAATACAATTTCTTCTTTCAGTACATATGTGCTCCACGTCTCCATCATAGTGGTTGTTGTCAATGACAACAGTGAAAGTCTGCAGTCATTGGAAAGCAGTTCTGTGCCACTAATTACTGGTTCTAGGATCTGAGTTATGGCATGCTCGACATATGAATTATGTTTACAAGGGATTCCTATACACATAATGAACAGAAGTCATATATCATTATCACAAAGAAATATATTTTCAACTCATCTTGTCAACAATCTGATATTATAGATACTTATCAGCATTATGGGCACTTCAAAATACATACATAATTTGTGAGCTATTATTCTTATCATGTTGTCACATACAGTAAAGATTACTATTATTGTCCAATAGTGTACAGAAAACTGTAAAAAGAACATTCATGACACAGGAAGCCCAAAACAATAGTTTGGGACTAGACACACAGGCAGCCCAATATTACATACCTGACTGTCTACTTTTTTTCCAAGACTTTCCAATTGGCATTGCTTCTTGGAAGAATTCTGAACACATTTTTGACAGGTCATCCTTGAAAAGCTGCCGATACAGATTGTTCATTCCCTGGGAATATAAATAGTTTTTTAATATATCATACAAATTATGTAGTAAGATAAAAATAGTACAAGAAGCAAGAAGATCTTAGTACAGATTAGACCAGATCTTCATTGTTTTTTAACCAAATTTTAGAAATATGAATGTTGACTACATTCATACTGAGCATGATCAGATGAGCTACAAATGGACAAATTTTAATCCCACATGCAAGGAGCAGGGAATGAGACGAGACTGCTCCATCATCTGCCTTATTGATAACCTAGTGAAGCTCTTTGTTGAGACGATAGAGTGCACGCCAAAAAAGCGCAAAACAATTCTTAACTAACAACATTTCATAAGATTTAGTTATCAACTAACTAAGAATTCACTGGGTCATGAACACAATGCCAGAAAGGAAATTGTCTTTGTTTATGCCTCACTAAATTCTTAGTTAGTTGATAACTAAATCTTATTAGGCGCTAATTAGTTAAGAATTGGCGTGCACTCTAGTTCAAAACTGAGACCTTTGCTAGTAAGAATGATAATTGAAAAAATATATTCATCAACAGGCATCTTGGATGAACTTCAACAAAGGGTTTCTCATTCATCCAAACTTTTATCGTTTGACTCTCATGGGAATTATTGAAAATGATTAATAAGTAGTCAAATTTACATTATGCTAATAATTAAATGAACAATCTTTCTTGATTAGCTTTATGTATCTAGTAAATATTACCTGGATTGCTTTCAGAATGCCTTGTAAATCTTCTAATTGTATAGGAAGTGAGCCCCAAGAGTAGTTCCCCCCCTGACCAACACACAATGGTTTGATGGTTTTCATGGTCGCATGCGCCAACTCTATTAGCAATGGCATGTCCGTATGCACCAGCATGAAAAATGATGACAGATTCCATCCGGACAAAAAATGATACAACTTGGTATCAAACCAACTACGAGCAAAGCTAAGCAATGCTTGCATACGACTAAGGAATGGCAACACTGATGAACTCAGGTCCTTTATCATGTACATGGAACTATATTCAGTGGACCATAAGTGATAATCCCATTTTTGTGCCACTTGAAAAAAGTCCCTTAATGTGCTACAGAGTTCCATCATTGAAAGCACTGTTTCGCATGAAGGGGAGTTGTCTTCAGGTTGACTAGAAGTTGAACACTTGTCCTTTCGAGCTACGCTGAGAAGCTTGCAGAATCCTGAAACAAAATAGGAAATCACAATTATTTGAAAATATTACAAATAAGTCATGGATTCCAGACAATACGAGTTGCCTTATAAGATTAAAACTGAATGATATATATTTATCAAAATAATTGAGCACAACAATGCTATAAATCTTATTGATAACATCAACATGCAAACAACATTTATAGCATACAAAGAATAAGAGACTAGATTGTTGCCCAGATCCCTACTTTGCTCAGTCATTATATACACACAGGAAGCCCAGAATTCTATATTCTCCTTACCTTTATCCCAAGATGATAGGCAACCATAGCAGCGAATGCATCTTCCAACTAACTGTAAACACTTGGATTCTTCTGGTGCCATCGAATCTAAATATCATCACAAAGTTCAATAGGTATAGCATAGGTATTACTAGACTTGATTTGACTTTTATTATAAAACTAGACGCTTGTAAAGCGTGATGCGGGCTAGCTTAGCAAAAGATTCACAATACAAGATAAAAATTGYATCTCCAATGAATATTGTGACTATGACGTAACTATATATGAAAGTAAAATATGCCGTCGAATACCTTAGTTTTCTTTGCAGTTCAATTCTTATCGTTAACCTTCACTGTCTGCTATAATCTTATCATATATCAACTATCAACCATAATCTTTTTGCTATAGTGATTGTCCTACATTTGTAAAAATATTTATGGAAGCTCTTTACTTCTTGGTTAGCGATATCACATCTATTATTATTTACATAGCAATGCATTTTAGATGGCATGAGTGCATTCTTTAAATTTTGTTTTTATTRGCCTTTCTTTCGTACAAAAGAAATCTAAAAATTGAAGCAAAACAAAGCTCAATTTCAAAACTTGTACTTTGTCATTTTTAACTAATAAAAAAACTCGATGATATTAAAGCAATTTCTTTGAATTTAAACAATAAAAAACATTGTCAATTAAACAGAAGAATACCTTTTGCTGTCTATAAATGTGGAAAAAATGCCAGTATTTGAGCTATTTCATGTTGAAGCTGTACTGAATAATCATCGAGCTTGACTGGTGAGGAAGGCGAGACTATTTTCGATGCAAAATCGTCTTAAAATGATAACTAGCAAGCTTGAAACTTCACAAATGCAAAATCCTAGTTCAATTCTTCAATGAGAAAGCTTTTGGTATTTCTTGTTGATAGTTTTTGAGTACTTTTTTCTCTGTTATCGGCGAAGTACCCGCCATTTTGGATTCTTGAGAAAATTTTCAGTTCGAGAGAGACTGCAAACTAATAGATATGGCTTCCTGTGGTTCGAGAGAGACTGGAAACTGCGACACGACAGGAACAAAGGTAAAACTATAGCTGGCTAGCACAGCTAGCCCGCTAATTATTGCATACTGTCAACATTGGACATGAGCAAACGTATTAGACCAGTGGCTAACCAAATGTGGGCCTTATATGTATGAGTTAAACTCAGCTACTAAGTGGTTTTCTGGCAGCATCTTTTATACAATTCAGACACATATTCCTCTATGCAAAGATACCTGCCAAAAACAACTTTGTTTTCAACAGTGCACTAAAAACACTTGTAAAGTTCTCACTTTCAATCTCTTGCCATTGACCAATGAAAGACTCCAACTAATACAATACATTTTTTTAAATATATGTAAGGCTACACAAAAAACCTAAAGTAGGAAGATTAAAATAACTAAAATAAATTATAGGTTATTTTCATTATTAGAAAAATGTGTACAACAATATAATATAATATTTGGTGAAGAATAAATGCATTATTAATGCAGCTAATGAACCAGAAAACTTTAATGTTGCTCTTTCTTATTAACTTTTCATATACGTGACAATGTACTTAGAGCTTGCAGATAATAACTAACATTTATTCTTATTTTATGAATATTTTTATGGAAAACAAATGGTTGCTCAGGTGTAGTATGTGTTTGTTTTGTCGTTACTCATGCATATTAAAATGCAGCTAAAAATATCTTTGATCATTTATTTATATCTATATTAGACAAATACTGGTATAATTCAGTCTTTTGTTCTTTAAAACCAAAACATTTGAGACTACCTTGTGGTTAATAGTTAACTGTTCCATACTAAATAACAATTTTTATATACAGTAAGCTATATAAGCCGCCTTATACATGTTGCTCTGTTTTATAATGGTTCATTTTAACGGATTTGTTTTATGATGCAAATTGGTGAGCTAGTGCTGGATCCGCCAGTGATGTCTTAAACGCAAATGATTAAAGTTGGTGGAAAATAGTGTCTTTGCAATAATTCTCAAGCTTTGTTTATAATTTTAGGATTTTCAAAGATGCTAAAAAATGGATGTAAGAATATTTTCTTATTTCACTACATTAAAAAGCTAATGATAGAAGTTTACAAATACATGAAAATGGAAATAGAAATGAATGAATAAATAAAAAAATGAGAAAATGAATAAATGAAAAAATTAGTGAATAAATGAATGCACTCTCTGTGAGCAGAATGTTATCTAACCTTACTTTGGTAAAGTAAATAAAACTAGTAACATTAATAATGAAAATGTGAACAAATTAATGTTTGAATAAATTAATCTATCAATTGATAATAAAAAAAGTTGCTTTTAAAGTGTTGCTATGTATTATATCCAATAAAAACTAAAAAGTAAGAATATCATCTTTAATACTATCAACTCCCTGCTATAAGCTCCAGTATATCATCACTAAAATTATCAAATATCATTTTAAGTATTTTTAAGTTGTTAAAAATTATCTAAACTTATTGTCAAGCTTTGGCAGGGGGTAAAACACATTCAAATGCCCACTATCTAGATTGTTATCCAAACAATGTCAAAAGAAAACCAAATTATGTCCTTTATGAATGACACTACATGCCAAGACGTAAGCAAATATAATGATGTTTTTCATGATCAACATCATTGCTTGCAAAAAATGTTTAAGTATATATATATTAACAATTAATGCTTTAAGCCAGTTAAGATTCATTGCGGACAATTCAAGAACACCTTGATAGCTTCAGTCATTTTGTAAAGATGGCAAAATGGACTACATTCAAAAATAGACGATATATTTACTGTATGAATTGTGCTATTTGAATTGAATTTTTTATCCTGAAGTGTGAATAATGTTAAACTGTGAATTGGCACATTGCTGAATGGAAATGCTATGATATTTTTCTAAATGATAGCGGTATAGTCTAATCAAGTACTTGTTCACCAACAATTCAAAGAGCTCTTTGTTGTTGTTGTTTGCCAACTGTTGCTTCCTTTGTTGTGTTTTGTCTTCTTTAGTTTTTTTTTTTGCCAACATCTATCAGGTCTACCTTATTTCAAATCCTAGATTACTGATTTACCAGAACACAATTCTTACTATGATAAAAAAGTGGTCAACTTTCCACAAGTCTACATCAAACTATAATTTTTAAGGTTTCTGTCAAAAAACAAGGAGCTACAAACCTAAAATCATGCCTAAATGTTTCTGGGATGGTGAACGGTCCTTACGGAGCTCTCACATAAATCACCTGCTGATGTTTTATGTGCCGGCATCAAAAAGCTTTTCCAAGAATAAAAAAATGGATGACTTAACATTTTATATTTTTCTTTTTACATGGTTTTAGTCTTATTTGGAATTGTTAAGTTAGAATTGTCTGTGACTTTGTTTATGTAATAAAGATCTAAATATCATATTTATTATCATCATTATTATTATTATGTTTTGTATTATACAGAATGTATAATAATATTATATTGTAAACCTCAGGATAATAATAAAATTACAATAATATACGTCAACATCATCTCCTATGCACAAACTTATTATTTAATTTATTTGAAAGCTATTACAAAAGTTGATATAACTGCAATTCCTGTTGATTATAAGGACTTTCAAAATATTAACTATTTGCCATTATTTGTGCTTGTGTTGTTGATATCATAATGATTTACGTTAGGAATAATGTGGCTGGCCTTTTGTGCCTTCTGGCACACAGAGAAATGGCGATGATGACAGTCAATAGAATCTCTTAAACAAGTAAGCAAATTACCCATTTCAAAGTATGTGAGGTATAATTTGCTCTTTTTTGTTTAAAGTGTTTGCACATTTACACATGAATAAACTCAACTCACAAGAGCACAACCATATGGCCTGAATGAGGAGTTTAAATAAGGAAAACAGATCTTTTCAAAGTCAGATCAACAAGAATGATCTAAAAGCCATGAATAACTTTATAATGTGACTAATATTTAACTTAAATTTTAAGTGTTACTTTACACCTTGAAATAGTGATAAAATAAATAATGACAATTATATTGTTGGACACCTGTTGTACAAAAATCATATGTTATACATGCTGATTCGAAAAACCTGTTGTTTTGAGAAGCACATTTGTTAAAAAGGTGTTATATTTAGCAAACTACATTATCAATTAACTACTAGGTGGCAACAATCAGTGGAATCTAAAATCTAACTTTACAGTGCAATTAATAATTATTTGACAGGCTTGCCAACCATTTTTATTTGATCATAAGCAAATATAAGTTAAAAATAGCCACAGTAATAATTGATATGTAAAATAATATTCAAAATTGAGTATTTTTAAGGGGGGAATACTATTACCCACAGCAACCAGACATGTTATAGCAACCGGAACTGTTAGAAAAACATAAATGTTACCTGAAAGTGCCACTGACTCCAATACCGTGACAACACTCAGCAGGATGCTGTCAGACCATAGCGGTAAAGGTCCAAAGATTCCCTTGACGTCCCTCTCCCAGGATAGTAATTCCAACATTTGACAAATCGTAACACTCATGCTAGACCATAATATGTCCATATATAGTATTGACACTTGCGCTTTGACATCAACATCAATGGAATGATGCCATTGGACTCGCTTGCTAAGTCGTGGGGAAACTGTCCCAGGGGAGTGCTTTAGGATACTATGACTGGCTCCCTCAGGTTCCGAGGGGTGTTCCTCAGGTGGTATCCCATCTCCTGCTGTCTGCTGCTCGTCAGCACCCTTGTGGTAGAGGCCTTTTTGTGGCAGACTTTTATGCATTAATAGCTTTTTATCCATGCCATACGATGACATCAGTGTCATGGATGTGGCAAGCTTAGATATTAGTTCAGTTATAAATTGGTGCTCTGATGAAGGAAAGGAGCTAAGTGCACCACTAGGGGAAGGGTAGCAATTGGTCCCCTGGGGTCTTTGATCAAAATCTCTCCAGCCCCGCTTTACGATCAAGTCATTCTTCAAACAGTGACAAATATCATCTTGCTCGTGAAGAAAGCTTAAGAGATGGCTACCAAAAATACGGGCTCGCCTTTTGGCAGTGTCATTAAATAAGCGTTGTAGTGACACTGAAGTATCGACGGAGTTGAGTCGAACTGAGGCACACACTCCGAACACTCTACATGTCGTTGTATCGGAAAACAAGCTGGTTGACCGAGTTTTGAAAATAACGTCGTTTTCATCTTGAATGCTTTTGCTGTATTCAGAAAGACGATTTAAATCCTCGATGGCTGATGAGATATCCTTTAAAAGACAGTCCGACAATACCCATTTCAGGCTGTAAGCAATGTTCAAAACATAAACTAAAATTGTAGAAATCATAACTTGAAATCGACAAATGACCCTTAATAACGACTTGTGAGCGCTCTTTATATCCCTTTCCAGTGGGGAAAATATGCTTTTAAATTTGTATTCTTTCGAGCACCTTTCCAGAAAGACAGACCAAAAGGTAAGGTGGTCTTTGGCGGTCAGGCACAGTTCATGGAAACGATGTCCTTTGAAGTTGAACTCCCGTTCGAGATTTGATCCTCTGTTGTGAAGGTCTTTCAGATACGTTAGATAGTATTCCATTATGCTTTCGAGTTCGCTAGTAAATCGACATGAAGCTTGAAGCCTCGATAAACAATTTCTAACGAGTGTTAGCCCAACTCGTTCTTCTATTCTCTTTTCAATTTGCTTGACACTCGAACAAATGCGAGTGCCCGGTTGAAAATGACCAAAATCAACCTTGCTCGACCGCTTTGCTGGACACAAACAAACAACCTTACGTACGCTCTTGAACGATTCTTGAAGAGCCGAAACATTCTTTTCGATCTCCAAAGGTAAAATCCCTCGAAAATCGTCTCTTTGGAAGACGGGTTGTTCGATTTTACCATGACCAGCTGTAGAATAACACTCATTCGACATCGAGGAACCGACCTTGGGGGAAAAATCTGGATCCTGTTTTTTATCCATTCCCTCTTCGATGAATCAAAGTGCACATCTTTGACCATCTAGAAAGCGGCTGCTTTTAAATTGATCCTCTAAAGGAAAAAAAATACGGCGAAAGCCGAAAGACCAAACACCATCCATGTTGTTATTTCAGCGAAGACTGAACGCACGCGCGCGCGCTCCGCCGGAAATGCAACTTGGAAATGACACTGTGTACTTAACATGGTAATTTATGCACTGAAACAAAAATCTTTTTATAGACCAAAACAAAAGATTCATTTTGCATTCGCCATCTGCTCAAAATATAACTGAAAAAAAATTGGTTTATATTTTAATGATAAAAGCTAGATTATATTAAATCACGCAGAAGAAAAAGTGTTAGAAGTCAGTTCGGTCGAATCGGATTGTGGCCGGCGCGTTTTGAGAACTTCTTTTCCGAGTGATATAAATATTTTAAAAGAATTTGATAATTGCTCAATATTTACAACAATTAGGCTCACTAAGGCCTGTGTGTTTAAAACTATAATTTTCAACAACACTTTTTTTCAACAGCGCTTGCGCATTCACGCATTTACTATTAGTTTAGATTCTTTTTTTCTTTTTTCTTTTTTTTAAGCGCGCCACTTTGATCTGTCAGTCCGAGAAGCCCTAAACCAGTGTCTTTACACGTATTCATATAAAGACAAGCTAACTGTTTTACAATATCTGCATCGGAAATGATTGGGAATGGACACGATTGAACCGGAGCTACCTGATTGGCTGATTTTGGATTTTCTCACTCAGGTTTCCAGTTCACATTTTTTTCAGACAGGAAAGACAGGAAGATATTGAAACAAACATTAAAAGAAAGTACAGCGAGACAATGTTTCTTTTATTGCCGTAAAGTAAAAATAAGCCCCACCTCTCACCCAACCCCCATAACGCTCCCAAAAACACCCCTTCCTTGCAAACGAAGTCTTTGAAATATGAGATTTTCAGACACTTAATAAATCCAACTAACAATACTCGCGCACTTTTGCCGTCAATCGCCTTCCGCCTTCTTCACAGTTTGTCTAGTACATAAGTGTTGACACCGTTAGAACAAAAAAATAACTGGAATCTCCGACTCACGAAACCCTTGCGCAAGCACCTGAACTCGCCAGGAATTGGCCACATAAGCATAAACAATAAAACAAAATCTCCTCGATCAGGAAATGTGACATGGATCGATATGAAAGATAAGATGTCCAGTCAGCGCAAAATCCTTTCTGCGTCTTTTTAAACTGACTCTCTTGTCTGTTCAAAAAGTGCCATTGAGCTCACTTTTTTTGTTCTCTGGGCGTCGTCGATCGACATGCACGAGCTATAAATGAGTAAGAAATAACTTAAGAGCATATTGCTGGGTTTACATGTAGAGCTGAATTCTCCTCGGCTGAAAAGAGAAGTCAAAGGAGAGGCCATGTCGGCGTAATAGGACTGTGTACGGCAACTGATGAGAAATATTTTGCAATTTGCATGCAGACCAGTGGAATCTCTTAAATGAAGGAGAGTACTGATAAGATTTGATTCTCCCATAATTTTCCCGGGAATTTTGTCGTCCATCAATCGACTATAACAACTGACTTTTTTTCATCGTAAAAAACAGATTAGCAGAAGACGGTTTTTTTTGCTTATCTTAATTGACGTACAAAACTGATAAAATCGAAAACTCGATGGCGAATCTGGTGATACGTTTTTTAATGGTCACTTTTAGAGGCACAACTAAATTGCTGCCGTGCCCCCATGAATGTAGCATCGCCCTGAATCTGTCTCATCTGGGACATGCATGCTGTGACCACTAAAGAAAATAAGTAATAAAACCTCCGGTCGGGTAGACGAAATAGCAGTTTCTGATCCAGAAGCCTCCTTTCTCAGAATCCTCCTTTCTCAGAATCTGACTCACGTCAAATTAGCATAGAGGTGAATTCAGGAGAGGTTTGTTGATCACCCAGCAATCAAGCATATTACGTCAAAGTGCCAATTCGAGACTTTCTCCTCATCAAGGTATAAATTCAAATGACGTCGTAGCCCTGAAAGAAGCCGAAATACACCCGATTTATTAAAGAAGATTCCGAAGAACATCCGAGACATTTGCGACGTTGTGACGAAAAACCTTAATCCATTGCACACCACTTTCATGACGTAATTGTCCGGGGATAGCCACAAAAATAAGATATGCCCCCATATGATCACACTCCATAAAGCAAATAATTCTTGTTTATTCTTGAAAAAAGTCATGCGAATAACACGTAAAAAGGGTGTTGTTTACATAGGGAGGTCAATTGCTGTAGTAACCGTCACAGAAAACAGGTTTGCAGATTGTTTTGCTCTCGAGATGTTGTCTGTTGTTGTTTATTTTTTTGGGCAAGTGTCAATGTATTTGAATATTGTGAAATCTGTTTGTCATTGAACTGCAACGATCTAATTGTACAGGAGAAGGCGCAAATTAAACTGGAGTGCTTTTAAACCGTGAAAAATTAGTTGCACTATTCTCACTTGCTAGTTCATCCTAGAATCAAAAATTCTTGAATGTGAAATGGAGTATTCACATAATTGAGTACAATTTAGCACTATTTAATTACACTCAACCCCTCCACAAGACTCATGATTGTACATTATTTTAGCACAGCCAGCAATTATAAATGAATATCTAGAACAAATTTGCTAAAAAATGTACTGCCTCAATCCTTCAATCTTAGAGTGATTGCACTTAATCCATGCAACTGCACAAAATCTAGTAGTTCTAATTTGTACTAAAAGTGGACCTGAAGCAAGACAGTATTGAATTCTTCATTTGTATCAATTTAATTTAATTTGCGTACCGCATGCATGATTTACTAAATACAACTAAACAKCACTATTTAGTTTGTACAGTTGCACGGATTAAGTGCGATCACTCTATGATAAAACTTTCTTGCATTTATAATGAGACTGAGAAACAGATTAAACGTAGTTGATAAAGAAACCAACAAATCTATCACACATTGCATTATAATTAGCAACAATTCAAAGTTTGAATATGTTTGGATAAACTAACATCTTAATTTAACCTTATAAAATCATAGCAGTATACATCATATCATGACATGTGCTGTACATATTCAAAATATCAAGTTCCTTTTATAGCTCTGTTGACTTTGTCAATTGTTCATGACTGGGTTCCTTTTTCACTTTTTCCATCAAATGTTTGCTATTTATTAAAGTTCTTTTCCTTCCAATACAGTGTTAGCATCTTATAGCTGTACCGACTGACATGAATACTCCAAAAGTTCCACCTCCTTGAACCATAATCTTCCCAACACTTGATATTAGCTCTCTTCCTCTGAGTCCCATTCTAATTAATGGAAGAGACAATGGATGAATTATTAATATTAAGGCCTGGGTCAAACGTAGAATTTCACATGACTGAAGCCAATGCGATAAGATTATAATGATCAGGAAACAAAATATTGGAGTCATTTGAGTTGAACTAAATACATGTGCAATTGTATGTTTGCCCCCACCCCAACCACCCCCCCCCCCTTCCCAATTTATTGCAAAAGTTTTCATTCTGTTGCACAAACATGTGTTTAGGGGAGGGGAGGCATGGGAGTGGCTGATCTTGAGTCTCACCTTCCAGAACCTATGTCCATATCAAATGTGTTTTGAATGTATTGATGATAATTATGCAATAGAGCGGATTTCGCATGAGTGGGAAATGGATGGTACTGTACTGTGACTGTAATCGTACTGTAACCAAATTCTAGTGCCCCATTGGTTCACCAAAATTGTGCAGGCCAGGCCAGGTCTGGTAACCGTGTGGTAACGCTGTCCCACTCATACGAAATCCGCTCTAGTATACATAGCAGGGTCTACTTGTTATACACATAATACCAAAAATAATTTGAGTGACATGTATAATGGACCCTATGGAAAGGGGACAAATGATTACACTCCCAGGTGGGGAGGGGAGTTGCAGTGTTTCAAATATTATCTAAATCTATAGAAATTCACTTGGTTTCTAGCCCTATAGAAGACTATATATCTAAAAAAATATCAAATAGAGTGAAAAACTTACTTTAGAGCTGAATACATCCCAAACAATCCTGCAGAGCTCATACCTACAGCAAATCCGATCATAAAACCCACTTTAACTCGATCAAAACAGCTTGGTGGTTGGGGTCTCTGCATTTTTAATATTCTTGTATGACTAATATTTCCTCTTGACGGGTATTTTGTTCAAAATTTTGTCAGGTTTCCACACCACGTTTTCGTGAGAATAATTCTACTTTGATTGGTGTAAACCGCATTCCATTCTGACTTTGTGTTCGCTCGGTCGAAAGAACTAAGTACTAATATTACAGGAACGCCTGGCAAATTACGCATTTTTAGCTTTCACTTTCGTATTTGCGCACTTTGGTTTTAGATCAGCGTTATTCTGTGATTTTACCTTGTTTATCCTGATAATTCTACTCGCGATGGCTAAAAGGGTCCCAGATAGGTGAGTAACAGAAATAACATAGACAGTGAGATACAAAGACTGTCTAAAGTCTGTCTAGAATATGTAAAAGATAGCTACCGAGTCTTAAATCACGATCAAGGGAATCTATCGTAAGTTGTGAGTAAATAGCTGGCAGTTTTCTGTTATTTGCCATCATTCATATATTGTCGTGGCCGGCAGTAGAAAAATAATCATTTAAAATCACTATTTTCATCCCAAAAATGAATGATAAATATGGCAAAAAGTTTAGCTACTTCCATGGCCATACTCTGGAAGACAGAGACCTCTGAGTATTAACTATACACTGTAGCAATAAGTATCCCAATTGTGCTTTATTATTGTAAGAACGATGTTTCATCCTCAGGTGGAGAGAATATGACCCGTGCAAGTGGATTCCCATCAAAGATGAACGAATCATTGCATTTAAAACGCCACTATCTAAAGTAAGATTTGAAACCCCATTAGTGTTCCTACAATTTCTTTGAAGCAAGTTATACTTCACTGTTGCTGGTGTGTCTTGTGCTGTTCATCACAACTGAGTTCAATGGTAGATTGATATCTCATTGAAATAAAGGTTTAGAAATAAAAGTCTCAACAACAAGACAAGTTTTACTTGACAAAATCTTGCGTCGTTTAATAAAGTGATTTTATTAAATAAAGTTGCTGGATTTTTACTAAACTTACTAGTCAGATGAATTTGAATAACAATCAGCAACTTTATTTGTGCTTAAATAATAAACAAATACTTTGAATAGCAAATGCAGTTTTGTGCCTAATTAAATACTTTAAATACAAATACTTTTGCCCCAAAAGAGTCTTATTGTTTGCTTATTGAAGGCTTATATTATTGAAAGCATCTCATGAATAAGACATATGAATGTGAATGTGCTCTTACACCATCAACCTTTTTAGGGCAAAAGTATTGAAAATTAGATTAGAAATAGTATTCACCAATCAATGTGTTCGAATTGTCATAGAAATTCGATCACGAGCAGCCAGATGATGATGGAATTCTAGAATCAGAAAGGTATAAAGTACAGTCTTATCAAAACTGGAAATGGATAAAGACATCTTTTATCAACTTTATTTATTTGTATTTATTGTAGATTCACTCCAACAGATCTTGTTGATGGCTTAGCAGAGAAAGGGTTTTGTCTTGGACTAGTTGTTGATTTTACTTTCACTAAACGATACTATGATCCCCAGGTGATTTCTTGTTTTTACAAATTTGGTGAGACTATTCAAAGCATCCACTGCTCTGAGCATGCCACCCAAGAGTCCATCCACAGGGATATCCTGCCTGTGTCTCAGAAAATCATGCAAATGAGGTTACTATTTGCCAGACATTGCCACCTGGCCGATAGGGAAATCATAGAGCCTCTATTGTTATGGAAGTCTATCTGCCCTGTCTGCTATAGAGGTCTCACATTCCCAGAAACTATATCCAGGGACACAGGACTACAGTGTCGAAAGTGAAGACATTTCTGCTGCCATACATGTAGTACAGGAAGTGTGTTCGCGTGGTTGAGTGTGCCCCAGCCTTTGGGGTCGTTAGATGATGAGTCATTATAACATTACTATTGCATTAACAAGGTTCACCAGTTATGGGAAGGGCTGATGGTCAAAGTAGATTTTGCATAGATCTTATATGGAGTTTATAGTGCACAGTACAAGGATATATTTACTTGAGTGGAGAGTGCAGCCTAATTCAATAACATACATTTTGACTTGGAACAATACTGAAGGACAGAACAATATTAATACCTTGCAATTTTTTTCAGGAATTTAAAAAGAAAGGTATACTGTACAATAAAATGATGTGTCCTGGTCACAAGATTCCTGATGAAAAAGATGTTAAAAGGTTTGTTCAAAACATATTCAATTATTATTTAAGTGGCCTAGTGTGTGTGACAAACACGTGTTGGAAGACAATGCATGTTCTTGCAAGCTCAGGGGCATAGCAGTGATAGATGGCCTACAATCATGGACATTTCAATTGGCACACTGCAACGCTGTATAACTACAAGTCACTTATCATTTTGACAATACAACAAAAATCATGCCTCCCCTTCCCCCCAGCAACGTTGTGTCCATTTTTGCTTTCTGTTCATTACTGAGTGTTATGACATCATGTACAACAATATTGTGGGTGACAGTGGGGAGGGGAGGAGGGAGGGTAAATACTACCACATCTCAAAGAAAACACCATTTTGCTGATGATGTCCCAAGAATCTATTTTGTCTTTGATTGTAGATTGCTTTAAGGTACATTAAAGCTAGTCTTCTCTCACAGCTGTTATTTGGCTTGTTCCCAGGTCTCTGATTTGGCTTGTTCCCAAGCTGGAGAGAGGCCTGGGAATGATCCAGATAATGACTACAAGAGGAGATTACATTGAATTCTAAGTAGCCAAATTGATGATGTTCCTGCTTTTAGGTTTGAATATGAGGTGCACTCATTTCTTGAAAAGAATAAGAATGGTAAGAAAGCCTTGATATTAGTATAATATTATGGATGGACTTGAATGAAGAAAACAAAGTGAATGGGATGATGGATGGAGAATGGATGGAAACAAGGAACATTGCAAGAATGAGAATAATCTTGATGAAAAAAAGACAAATGGGCAAAGGATGACTTAATGAATAGACAGATAAATCACTTTTATGATTGTAGTTGAATGAAGGAATAAATGATTGAAAACAGGGTAGAGCTGTTAGATAAATGACTAAATGAAAGGATGATTAGATATTGGACAAATGAATGACTAACTGTTGGTGGATGAACAGCTTGATTGACAGATGAATGAATTAGTCAATAGCTCTGAATGGTTAAATTAATAGTGAGATGAAATGGATGAATGGATTAAAGTCAAAATGAGTTTTTCAAAGATTGAATTTTATGATGTGAGGAACTTGTTATTGTATCACAAAGGAAGGCATGTCTGTCAGCCATTGCAATATGCCATTGATATGATGTGTTTTGCCAAACAGGAAGTATTGTTGGTGTTCACTGTACACATGGCGTCAATAGAACTGGTTACATGGTTTGTAGATATCTCATAGATTGCCGTGGTTATCAACCAGATGATGCAATAAAAGGTATATTTAGTGTTCATTCATCTTTTTTAAGTTTCAGATTCATTAAAGTAATAACCTCTTCCACTAACATTGTTATTTGCCCATGTTGCTTAAAATTGTTTGTTATTATTTGCAAATGAGACTAGCGTTATAGTTGATTATAATCAAGCTATAGTTCCTGATGTTGAATAATGCATGGTGTACCAGTATTTGTTATTATTTGCAAATTAGACTAGCGTTATAGTTGATTATAATCAAGCTATGGCTTATACTTATGTTGAATAATGCATGGTGTACCTATTTGTTATTATTTACAAATGAGACTAGCGTTATAGTCTTTATATAGTTGATTATAATCAAGCTATAGTTCCTGATGTTGAATAATGTATGGTGTACCTTATTTGTGTGCAGCTTTTCATGAATCAAGAGGATACCCAGTAGAAAGAGAAAACTATTTGGAGGATCTCAAGTCAAGGACTCCAGGGTGAATTTTCGCTTTTCTATTTTGGCCTCAGATATTTTGTTTCTTCTCTCTTCTCTCTTCTTTTCTTTCTTTTCTCTCTTCTCTTTCATTCTTTTTTATATTCCTTTGTCATAGTTGTTGATTATTTTTCATTCTTCTTCAGTCAAGGGGTTAACTTTGAACCAGGAATTGAAGATCAAGCTTGTGATAATGAAAGAACGAACGGAAGACAAAGTGTTTGGGAAAGAATAGATCTTCCACCTCGGAGACAAAGAAACTTCAATCCACGATCAAGCAGGGACTATGAAAGTGTAGGAAGGAGCAGTACTTATCACCATGACTCTAGCTGGAGAGATAGGCAATACAGATTTTCAAATGACAGATCTCATCAAAGACCATCAAGTGGATCTTTCCATAACAGAGCACCCTCTCATAATTTTGATATGCCTCCTTGGTCACCATATGGCCATAGAAATAGTTACTATGACAATGGTCCTAGAGATAATTGTTACTATGACAACAGACTTGGAGACAATAGTCTTAGAGACAGTTACTATGACGACAGCTTCAGAGACAGTAACTATGGTAACAGATCCTCATATCAAAGAGATTATGGGCATTATAATCAAAGAGGATTTGATAATGATTATTCAAGTGATTATATGTCAAGAAATACTGGACAATATCCCAGGAATATAAGGTATCAACCTTACTCAGAGGAAGGGCGTCATATTAATAGACAGTGGCAAAGATAAAGTGAAAGGATTTTTTATGTCTGGACAATGTTTTTGGACAGTCATGTCAGTCTCGTGAAATCTACTCCTGGCAATATTTGTTACAATTAATGTTTATAAAATGTGCTGAAATAGTTTTAATTCATTTTAGGGGAAATTTAATAAAAGTTTAATATGATATCTATTAATTAGATCTATTATTTCTTTTTTCATTCAATATTTGAACATTTTCATTTGGTAATTTTTTCGAAATATTCATGGGCGAAATGGGCTACCTGTGTCATTTGAATACAGGTAGCCCAAAGTCAATATCAATGTTCTTTGATAACGAGGCTCTCAACTCCACCCTGACAACAAAATGGCGGACAGCTCAGAAGAAGAAGGGCAAGATTCGTTCGTGCTTTATCGTGATCGAGAGGAGTGGAAAGACGTCACGCCTGTACCACAAGATGATGGACCAAATCCTGTTGTATCTATTGCTTATTCTGAACGTTGTAAGTTGGATATTTTTGTATTTTCTTGAACTCGAATAACAAATCGTTATGTCGGCGCGACACAGGACTCACGTCAGAGGCATATTTTAGCTTTGTTTGCTGCTTGTAGAACATGATAATTTGAAGTTCACATTTTAATCCGTTTGCTGTTAAAAATTGTGCATGAGATATATTTGTTTTTCGAATCGAGTGTCCGCTGTATCTGAAGAAAATACCTGGTTGTCATGTTCATATCCAGGGCCGTAGCTAGTAAGAGGCCAACCAAGGCACTCGCCTCGGTAAAATTTTGCCGATGCTTTTTGTTCTTCATCACTAATATTATCTTAGCCTCTCAGAGCCGATTTCGTACGACTGATTTTGTGCAAAAAATATGAAAATAATGTTATTTTTGTACCGAATTTTGTACCTGTAGTTTCTTTGTTTCATAAATATTGCATGATGAATTCCGGTTAAATCTGTTCAACAAAGAGTTACCAAAGGCCCACAAAACGCTGCAAGTTGCATTTCCGAGAAACTGAATGTCAAATTTTCTAGGGGGAGAATGCCCCCAGACCCCCTTAGTTTCTCCCGCCATCGGCGGTCGCACTTGCCTCGGTTGTCCATTCACTCCTGATATCTGATTTACATTGTTTTCTTGCAATTCTATTGAGCTTTGCATTTGTCAAATGACACTTTGGAGCCATTTTTATCAGAGAAAAACGGAAACAATTAGGACTTTAAAACATCCACCTATTATTCAAAATTTCTGCAACTATTTCACGGACTGGGGTAAAATATTTAAACCCATGAAAATATTCACCAGTGTTGCTAATGGTAGTATGTAAGAAATGCTACAATACCAAGATTTTATCTATTTCTAGTTAAGGATGTGTACGATTACTTCCGAGCTATTCTCAAGTCTGGCGAGATGAGTGAAAGAGTTCTTGCGTTGACTGAGGAAGCTATTGGTCTAAATGCAGCAAATTATACTGTCTGGTAAGTCTCATTAGATATAGCCACACTTATTTCTTCTCTCTATAGTCCCATGAACATCAGCTAATACCAAATTCTTTGCATAAAAGTCTGATTCAAAAAATGGTAGACAATAAAAATTATTAGCAAATTATTTGCTACCATCTTGAAAGGCAACTGTCCCTTAACAACGAACAGAGGGGAGCGTTGAGCATGCAATGATAGGTACCTGTAAATGATTGTTTGTAGGTGTTAAAGAGGTCTTCTATCATTTGCATATTCAACAGTTCCACCACTTCAATGTAAAGGCAGAGCCACCTTTCAAAATGGTACCAGGAACATAGTTCTATTTTGATTCACACGTAACTTTTCATTGTACAATATTTTTTTTTGTCAAAGGCATTATCGAAGATTGCTGTTGAAGGCTTTAAACAAAGACCTGGCTGAAGAATTAAACTATGTTTCCGTGGTGATTGAAGAGCAGCCAAAGAACTATCAAGTCTGGTAAGTCTATGCATGGTTCATATACATCAGTGGCAGTCTATAAAGGGAATCAGGGACAGTTGTAAAAAAAATGACAGCTTTGGCATTATTTTCCAAGGCAATCTTCTGTACTTATGTGCTTGCCCAAGTATGGCTTTGGCTCACATATTTATTAGTTACTAGACTGGAGCGTCTCAACATTTATGAACTTGCAAAGCTTCAATACAAATATTTAGAACAAATAATATATTTGCAAATACTATAATGAGATTTAGCAATTTTGGCAAATAAGATTTCATTAAAAATAAAGAAAGACCCCAAAAACTAAACACTATCTTTTGTATTTTGATTCATTGCTAAAGCTCTAAAGGTCCTATTTGTCAAACAATGCTTTTGCAATGTTCTAGTGACATGGTAAACATTATTTTTGTAGGTACCATAGGCGTATGGTGGTTGACTGGCTAAATGATGCCAGCCAAGAACTGGACTTCACATCATCTATTCTTCGACCAGATGCCAAGAATTACCATGCATGGCAACATCGGCAATGGGTGATAAAAAAGTTTAACTTATGGGAAAATGAACTTGAATACGTTGACAAACTTTTGACAGAAGACCTCAGGAATAATTCTGCATGGAATCAAAGATATTTTGTCCTGTCTCACCTGGGTTTTACAGATGAAGTCATTCACCAAGAAGTCAAGTATGTAGTCTATTGTAATAGCCTTTGGTATTCCTGTGTTGAAGAAGCACAGGGATCCCATCAGGAATACTCATGTCATCCATCACCACTATCCCTTATGAGCTTTTTTTTATTTTTTTTATTTTTACCTATTATCATCTTATGATCTATGAATACTGTAAGATTCCATTATAAAACTGATGGATGGAAATGGATTGTGAATGTCTATTTCTTTTAAAGTTTTTTAAGCTGCAACTGCATTAATGCATGCCAGTTTTCGGCAGCTAAACCAAAACTTGTGTCATATTTCAGTTTGGCTGCATTGTCAGTAGGTGGTTGATTTAGTGCTTTAAAGTATGGTGTCGTGTCCATTTTTGATATCATTTTAATGGTTTAAAAATCAATTTAGCATGACTTCCTTTTATCTCAGGAGATGAGATAAAAATCTAACTGTTTGCAGGTGTAGAAACAACCAGCAGAAAATCTCAATTACTATTGTAGTGGTCCAGCCATTTGAACCTTGAACCACACAATAAGCAAGTACTCTACCACCTGGGCTACCTGGTGTGTAGTAATGAAGTGATTTTCGAATTGTCCAATTGGAGATTTCTGGATTTTTGATATTGTTACTATTAGATTCATCAATTTCTCAAAACATAAACAGTTAAATTGAGTTGATTTTTCTAGCAGATTTTAATAATTATATTATTTTCTCAATTGCCAATGCCAGCACCCCTTATGCCATTCTCAATAAAGTCTGCACAAAATTAAACAATTATGTCAACAATGTGTTTGTTAAAAATGTTACTATTGATGTTGATTGTCTAGGTTTGCCATGGATCTTATTGAAAAAGTCCCAAATAATGAAAGTGCATGGAATTATCTTAAAGGGTAAGATTATTTCATTCAATTGTATTTTAATGATATGACATCATTTTCTGATAAGAGTCAGAGCAATTTAATAACTTATTTTTATAAATATTTTTTTTTTTTGAATGCTCAACAAATTATTTGTTGGGGGCTGTCGCAGGACGGACTGCACGGTGGGTATAAAAACGAATTCCACCAAGAACCTCCCTGTACTTTCTTTATTACATCAAATAATTCCCATCCCTGTTCACAAAAGATTCCTCCCATCTTTGGCTTTCTCGTTTTAGGACTTCTCATTTAGATACTTCTCGGTTTCGTAACTTGTATACACACCCCTCTCCAAAAGCTATTCAATGTGAATTTATACACATTGATTTACATAATTACATCACGTCGTTTACATTCCTATAGAAATTTAAGTACTTAAATTAAGTATAATAAAATCCTAGAATAAAGAAACTTCTAATTAAGGCGTCGAACCGTCATGCAGCAGAGATCACTAGATTACTTTTCAATTCTCCTCAGAAGAAATTTGGAATTGTTGCTTGCAGGGGGCTCTTTGCAGGATATGTGTATCACACATTCCTTAATATTTTTTTATATATTTCTGCCATACTTCGTCTAAAATAATACTATCACATCGTCACATAGAGCATCATACTGTAGTCATTTTTCCTTCAGGCACCTCAGAGTTCAGACCTAGTGTAATCTCAACTAATGGATTTACATAAAATTTCAAAGAAAACTGTAAAATTTAATAATATATTGTATAGCAAGCAATTATGAAAATATACAGTACAGTGTAACATAGAAGCACCAAGAATAGTTTATGAACAACATACAGAACTGCATGACTACGTAATATATAGATTATGATTGGGAGACCTTTATGGGCAGTTAAAACCATAAAGGCCAGACGAGAATATTTTATATTGCTTATCAAATTTTAACATAAGCTGAAACATATTTTGCTACAAACGTCAAGATAAAATATCATTTGTAAGAGAAAATCAAAGTTAAAGTCATATACAAATCAGGATCTTGCTCATATAAAGATGCGGTCACGGCAATGATTTTCCATTGTGTTTACCTTATGAATTATTAATGAATTTTATAGGAATTATGTGACTTGCAAGCAACCCTAAAACATTCAACATATTTTCAACATAACCTGCCAGTTATAGAATGAATGGCATTCCACTATAATTAGATTATGGTTATGCAATATGATGTACATTTGACCTTCACATTCTTTTGATCTCTTCCTGTTAGGTATTGTTAAGTGGCCACACCTTGAGTGAACTAAGTGCTGCTAAGTGATTCCCTGCTGTCAATTCTCACTTTAATTGACTTAAATGCCACACCTTGCTATCCAGTGATGTTGTGCCCACCCTTGCTAGTGATAATTTTCAGATGTCATGATTTTTTTTATTCAAAAACATTGAAGTTAAGTTAGAAAACACTAAAACCATCAAAACTTTAAATAATTAAGATAATTATTTTCTCTTGTTTACTCTAAAATATATGCTATATTTAGCATTATTTGGTAGGTTCTTTTTCAGGATTTTAATATTTTCACTATATTTAATGTACTTAATATAATAGTTTGAATCTGCCCTCTGGCATTGCATGTCATGGTATTAATAGGCTTACCAACCTCACCTAACTACACAGTGGTCCCACTTTACCTTATCCGTTCAGTAGAAGACCTTGGCTATTAAATTTTGGTTGAAATAATGTAATTTATTCTCTATTTGTTACTAGTAAACTTCCATTGGAAATTGAATTGGAAAAATAGCCAGAATTGAACACATTTACTAAAATGCAGTCATTGTATAAACTCAAAAGATTTTGATATCACAGACTTGATTGTTATGAATGCGTTTATATTTTAGACAGCTCTTTAGGAACCAGAATATGTTTTCTTGATAAACAAGTAATTAAATTAACTCCTTAGGTGGTTGAGAGTTTATCTTGTGTCATGGTGTTGTGGTTGAAGTGATTGTAAAAGCATCATCCTTAAACCACAACTTAAACTGACAAATATGATGAAAGATGAAGCTCTGGGGAGTCAATGAAAAGGCATAACTTGAACACACAAGATGAGAGAAATTGACTGAAGCAAGAGAAATGCTCAGTGAGCTTGCCTTCCTATGGTTGCTTCTTAAATGCTCCCCCATCAAGTTTATATTATTTGATATAGAACAAAATTCATTAAATTTCATATTCAATGGAAAGCCTAATTGGACAATATAAGCTGTATTTGGGTTGATTTTCAAATCCTTCATCAGGCAAAATCTATATTTGGTGACTCATATTTTTATGAAATAGGTTAATTTCTCTGTTTGCATTGAGGCCTATGTTTAATGGTGCTTTCCAAATGATTATGAAATGAATTTGTTCAGGTTAAAGAGCATGTAAATGAAAACCGAACTTATTTTGTAGTCCTTGCACTTTTTATGGCTTTTTTCTCTCTTTAAAAATGGAAGTAGTTATGCCTACTTATGTCTAGTCATTTCTATTTAAAAAAACAGCTTTATGGAGATTTGTTAGGGGTTTTAAAAATGCAAGGACTAGTGCAAGATGGTCATGGTTTATTGTACATAAGGGTGTTGCTGCACATTGCCTATCAAAGCAGAAGAGCCACAAGTGTAGTTTGATGAATTTTAATCTTTTTTGAGGATCACTCCACTTCGCCATTCCGCCTCTGCTAGCATTCAAACAATGTCATCACTTTGAATTCTCTTTTGTAGGGTGCTCTCAAAACACGGTCTTGCTAAATATCCTGGTCTCAAAGACACTTTAGTTGAGATGTACACAAGAGGGATTGACTCACCTTACCTTATGGCAACGCTTATTGATATTTATGAAGAAGAATTAGAAAGTGAAACAGCAGAACCAAGGACATTAGATAAAGCAGTTGAGGTGAGCTGAAGTTCTTGTCTGGGAAGGGGAATCAAGGAGAGGGGGGATCCAATACCAGCAATTTGTCTTAAGATGGCTTCATACTTTCTAAACCAGATTACTCTCTAAAATATTGGTGTTTATGCTGGATAAAACATGATAGTTACATACCCATAGTTTGAATTTTTTAATCATTTAAATACCTCAAAAATATCCTCTTCATACACCCTTTTGATAAGTCCCAAGGTATTGTTTTTTCTCCGCACTTGACGTCAAAATTATTCTTTTGAAATTTTTGCAATACAAAAGGAATTCAAAAGAATAAATTTGACGTCAAGTGCAGAGAACTTAATAACTTGGGACTTATTAAAAGGGTGTATAGAGAGTGTATTTTATTTGCTGTTGTTGAATTCTAAAGCAAAAAGTCTTCTATATTGAATATTGAAAATCTGTCTCGACTTCAGTTTTAAAAGACTCCATCTCACCATCTCAGAAAAAGCTCATTTGTCATCCTTATTATTTTTGTTGTTTTTTTATTCAAAATTAATTATCATGATAATAGCTTGTGTACATCCATCCCCACCTCTCCCCCTATGGGAAAAATCACAGATAACACCACAGACTATCACAATAACACTTTTTTCACTGTCATCATTTTCAGTTATGTCAGAAATTGTCAACAGATGTTGATTACATCAGAAGAGAGTACTGGAACTATGTTTGTAGAGGGTTGCAAAACAAATACGGATGAATTTGAGAAAGGCAATTTAAAAAGGAGACTCAAATGGGAAATTAGATAAATATACAGGCGCATAGCGTCCGCATATATGCACATGCGTACTAGTGGAAAGGAAATATTAAACTTTTTCAGGATTTAATGCCTTTAATATGCTCTCAATGCCCCTCAAACACTGGAAATCGCATTTTCAAGAGTTGTTTTTTCAAATATCTTTGGGGAGGACCTCTAGACACCCTCAATTCTCCCGCCTTCAGTGTTGTTAGCCCCCCAGATCCAAAATATGTATCACAGTCCCTGACATGTGTGTACTAGCCAAAAAGTCCACGCTACGCGCCTGATATAGTATTATACATTTGAAGCTTATTCTCATGGACACAGTTACTGACATCTGTGCATTAGGGGCAGCGTTTTTGGTCAAACCAACCCACGGTATTACCCCAGCAGTATGACATTATAGTGGTCATTTCTGAGAAAGGTAGCCAACAGTGACCAGTTCAAGAGCAGCTAGTTTGATGGACAGGGGTGCTTGTTGTTTTCAGTTAAAAAGTTTGTAATTGGCATGTGAGAGTGCTTTTGACTGAAAAATTCTTGGCCAGTCAAAGCAAGTTTCTCACATTCTGATTGGCCAATTTCAGTACTTTCTTGGGTAATGACGTTAGTGGGGTTTGTGGAGTTGGAGACCTGAGCAATAAAGTTTTGAAAATGATCCCAAAAAATAAACATTAATTTTAACTTGGGTGGTGATTTTTAAACCTAAAATGTACAAGTTCCTAGTTAAATATTCTTATATGGGACTATTCCAATCTGTACAATCCTGTGTAATGTTCATAAACTGAAAAAAATTATCAATGAGTCTTGTGATTTTCATGTGGTTATTATGATGTTAAGCTGTGGTAGACATTATGTGCATATCTCTTCTGTAAATAGTGGAAACTAGCAGTATTAACTAGTGTTGAGCTGTGTCGGTGTTTCTAAAGAAACAGTTAATGTGTAAAAAGATAAATTTAACGCCGTAAAAAAAAAATAGGTGAAACAACTTACTGATATTTTGGATGTTAATCCTTTGTCGAAGGATTAACGTCCGAAACGTCAGTAAGTAAAGTTATTTTTTTTACACTACTGTTTACCTGCAAATGTCTTCTTGCAGCATTCAATGCTTTTTAAAATAAATCCATAGAAAAACTAAGCATGGTTGCATTGAGACTAGGACTTATATTACTTGTTTTATTCACATGTGGAGATACAGCCTTTTGCACAAATTATGAGACATTTTTATATATATAAATATACCTAACCAAATACCAAATATCAAAAACACCCAAGAAATTATGGGATACCGTCGCTGATATTTTGTCTGTAACAACCTGATGCTAGGCAATCATGACAAAATATAATAGAGATATACCATAATTTCTGGGTTGTTTTTGATATTTGGTTAGGTATATTTATATATATAAAAATGTCTCATAATTTGTGCAAAAGGCTGTATATTCGAAAATATTTAAGTATCTCAATTTGAAATTATTCAATAAAATTATTAATATTAAAAGAGTGTCTTTGTAATTATTGTTTTTGCATAAAAATAGATCACAATTTGAAAATGATTACATACAGTTTAGTCATCAATACAGCCACATGCATATTACAATTAAAAAGTGATTAAAAAATATATTATACTGCCCTAGAAATTTTATTGCGCTTGTGTATTGTACAAAACTTAACAAGTGTGTCGATATATATTTTTTTCAAGTAAAACAAGAAATTATCATTGCTTTTTAAGACACTATTTTTATATATATTACTCTTGAGTTTCTTGACGTTGGCTGTCGTGAGAGCCACATTAAATAACCATGGAAACCAATGATTATAAACGTCGATGACGTCAGTGTCTCAAAGAAAACAAACTTTTAGACAGATCGAGACGGAAAAAAATCGTGTGCAATGACAGCTAGAACTACTATAAAGAATCACAATAAAGATTATTTTTATAAACGACTATGATGACAAAAAGGGGCATATTTCAATGAAAATGAGAGCAACAAAATTTGACATAGCGACCTATGATGTTCATGAAATTTTGACAAGTACTACGTGTTTCCTACCCGAAGTGTATTATGACTAGCGCGAAACAGCGAGATGATGGAAGTCAAAGAGCGTGAGACTGGGGTTTCCTTGGAGAGTGAAGCAGTATTTTGGACGCCGTCCAACGAATGCAGTGTTAAAGAGAACAAATAACTACAAAGGAATTCATAAACATTTCATATGCCTTTAGATGTGAATGAAATCCTTTTTTATTTCTGTTGACTATTACATGTAATTACGCCCCTTGAAAGTGTTACAAAAACGTTGCTTATTTTTCTCATTCATCCTAGAGTAACTATTCGATCGTGAGTAAACCTTCTTCAATTCAATTCGTTTATGTTACTAAAAGCTTTCTTGGTTAATTTGACTTTGAAATTACTTTAAAAAACGCCGTGATTTTTTTAGTAAACAACTTTGCTTTGTCATTAGCAATGTAGCTGTGTATAAAAGTGTTTGTTTACCTATATTTTGAAGAAAAACACAACCTTTTGTCGGCTTGTAACTATTTATTAACTACTTCAGACTTTTTTGTTGGTCACAGGAAACTTATTTGATAAAACTGACAGATTTTGACACAATAATCTTTTTTCGGTTCTGATCGCTTGACTTTAAGAAAAGAAAGCACTTGAGATGGTGCATGCTAACCAAGAAATCCTTTTAGCCAAAAATTGTAAACGTCAGTCAAAAAACTGGTAGCTGCGAAACGTTAAGACTGCATAAGAATGAGTGTTATAAGTCAACAACTTCATTTTTGAATATTTCTCATATTAAAAGGGTAATACACCAAATAATTTGGTTATAGAACAAACGGGGAATTGTGAAGAAAATTAGATAAACGAGTCAAGATAAACATTGTCTGGAACTTACATTTTTATTGTAAATTCTTACGATTGGATTTCACCAGAAAACCATTGAAATGTTGACATCCGTGACGTCATTATGCAAAGCTGTGGTTTCCATTGTTTACCGATGTTTGCCAACTTTTGATATTTCTCATTAGCAGAGCTTAGATAAATAGCAACCGTGGTTGTTTTTAACAATAAGACATGAAATAAGTCTTGGTTTTGTGAGTGATATTGTATTATTATTCATGAGAAGCTCATTGATATACACAGAAGCCGTGGGGGGTCGCCGATGTTATGACTTTTGTAGTGACTTCAATTAATCATATTTAATATTGTACAATCAACCTATCTGTCTTGTCTGCACTCAAGGATAAAAACATTGCTCTATTTCGGACTATCTAGGTCTCCGTTATTCCAAAAAAAGTGTGCTTTTCATCATGTGTTCGGCTTCACTGCATAAATAATCCCAAGATAGCGTACTTGGAGTGTTGCTCTTGAAACTGCTGACGAACTTTACATCTTCAATTATACTTTACCGAACGGAAAGGGAAAATAACAGCTTCGAAAAACTACTTGAAAAAGTCCATCAGTTCCTCTTGAAAATCGCGTGTCAAAACACTGTGAATTATTTCGACTGACGGCTCAAAACCGAGCTAAAAATAGGCCTCCATTAGTGCATGAAAGCAGCATGCGTTTAACGTAGTACCTCGTGTATACGGTTCGCTTCTGATTGACGTGGAGGTATCAAAACTCCAACAGCATCAATACATTTAGATTATTTTCACTTTTAGCTCATTAGGATCCAGCGATCACTTTTCATGTCTTATCTCAAAGGTCTTTCCCGCGCAAAATAGCCCGCGCAGATCACACCACGTGCAAGCCACGTTTTCATTCTGTCACCTTTTGTGTTTGGATGCGTTACAAAATGGCGCACACTTCATTGTCACTGTTTTCTAATACAGCATGCTAGGTTTATGAAATCATTAGAGAGTTGAAGGGAGCAATATCGAGTCGATATTCGCTTTACATGAAAACAGACTACCGCTACAAAATCTACCTATTATAATCTAGTTTGTTTCCGTGCACAGAACAAGCCTTCCGGGGAACGGTCCATCACCTTTCACAAAAAAAAATTCAAAGCTTTACCGTTTTCCGTTGTAAATTCCGAATAAACAATTGGCGAAATTCCAAACAGGTCTATTTGAAATCTGTTGAAAGGAGGAAAATGGTGACTTCATGGAGCTAATGAAAGTTGACATCGAGTCCATTATCGAGTATTTTAAGAGCACATGTATTTCGCAAACGAAACGGCGCGCCTTGATTTCTAGCGACTGTAATTGGTCGTTGTTTGAGCCTCTGTTTACATGTGAAGATAAAGAATAGGTTCTCTTGTGTTAGAGGTTTGACAGCCCTTCAATCGCCTGAGTTACTTTAATTATCAGCAAGCCTCAATTTGCATAGAAGCGTTTGTATTGAGCTCGACCTTTTGTTGTGCTCGCACGTTTCTCTCTTTGTTTGTATTCAATTTCGGAATGAATTTCAACTTGCAACACAACAAAAGACGAGTATAATTCCCGCTCTCTCAATATTAACAAACTTATCAATGATATAGTAAGGGATTTTGGCGATTTGGATGCAATTTCGCTGTGTAGTTTCACTAAAATTGCAGCTGGCTAGCTCAACGTCAAACGGGCGACCTGAACAAAAGCTGTGATTTGTTCTTTTGTCCTCGCAAATGTTATTATTCTGCTCAATTTCACGATCAATTTTGCCCATGATTCGTATGGATTTCAACCTTGGTATACCACACCGAAATAACCAGCGAAAACAGCCGTTATTCAGAACATCCCTTCAACATTTGAGATGGGTTTCTACATCAAGAAAAGCTCGCATTTGTTTACATTACGCGGGCGCGTTGTAAATCTTAGTCCACGCTCCAACGACCTAACCAAAATCATGCTGCAAAAATGTTGAAAAGTGCTGAATTTCATGACCCTTTTAAATCACATTAATCCAAAGTGCGGTTAATATGATTTATTTAAATCGTACAAGTTGAATGTACACACGTTCAAAAGCTGCAAAAGTTATCTTCGCGACTGTGGAATTCAACACTTTTGACAGCCACGAAAAAATTTGTTGGTGTGAAACATGCAAACACAACGACTCGGTAGAAATGTCAAACATGCTTTAATTCCTTCTCTTTTTTTACGATAAAACCGTACAAATTTCACTTCTTATTTGCAATTATATATAAATAAAGCTTTTACATGCTTTTTGAAACTCCTCACTTCAATACAGAAGGAAATATAATCAGTTAATAATATTAAAAACTCTTAGAAATTTTAAACCTTAACTTTCAATTTGAACTAAAACAGCAAATGCTGTTTGAAGATTAATAATAAATTTCATTGAAAAAATCTTAATTCTACTAGATCTGTTCAGTTGAACTACTTTCAAAGTAGTGTAATTTGAATCTATTACTTCAATTTTTCTTTTTACAAACATCGTCAAAAGAATATCCCTGAGCTAAGAAGTGCTCAAAAACATTTTTAAAAATCATTTCTTTGTCATAGTCAGGGCGAAAATTCGCAATCAACACTTTGATATTAAAATACTTTACACTTTAAAGGGTGAAAATTCAATATCGTCTGAATATTTAGAGCTATAATTCCAAAATTTTTTTTTACAATGGTACATATTGATAAATTATTACTCTATATAGGAGTACAAGATTTAATTCATTTTTTTTCTGGAAAACCTAAATGTTATCACACGAATATAAGGTATTGGAATTTTTTTGTAAAATTGATTTTGCTAAGTTAGATACGTATGAAAAACGAGCATCTTGTATATCCCATTCATGAATTATAATAATATTGCATACGAGCTGAAATCGAAAAGCTTGCACTTTCGTTTGAACTGTAAAAACTGAAASAGACAATAGTCCAAAAACTTCAACATTTTTGAAACGCTGGATTAAGAAATAACTACTAACTCTGAATAAAACAAGTCGTACTGCATCTCGTACAATCCGTATGTGGTCGTAAAAAATATAAACTACTAATAAATTAATACCGCGATTGAGCTGAGGGCAAACTCGGCAAAAGCGATCTCATGGCGGTAAACAAATAACACAACAAATTTCTTCAATAAAGCCAAAAATCTCGAATATTAACAATAAATTTGCTACAAACTCTTTACATTACCCTGTTATAAGGAATTCCTAATTCATATTTATGTTCTTGGGGGTTTATTTAGCGTCTTTTCGGCGGCAAAATCCCACGCGTTGTCTTGGTGTTGTTCGTAGGTGCTTTCGGCGGTGGAGGTTGCCCATTTCCTTGTGTCTGCTGATTTTGTGGACAGTATTTGATCGTATGCGATTCATCGCCACTTGCTTTGCAGATTGGACAGGTATACGCTCTAAGAATAGGGCACGTTGTCTTTCCATCTACACTCTTCAGCACATGAGATGCGTAGACATCTTCGCTCTCTCCATTATTTCTGCAGAAAACGCACACTTGGCGGTTTGCACCGGGAGCCGTGCTCCTTGTGGTCGGCTTCAAGCGACGACTTGGAGGCAGTGCGGTTTCTCTCCTCTTTCCAGCATTATGCAGTAAAGAAGACGTACTGAAAGGCTGAAACGAGCTCTCTCCAAACGCCAACCCTTGATCAGTAAAAGAATCACAGCTCCCTGAAGATGAGTTTTCTGAATCAATGCTGTCAAATCGGTCACGTCGTGACTGCACTTTTCCGTACGGATGGCTGGCCAAGTAGTCGAAGTCACTGCTTGCTAACCCAACTTTTTGAACCAAATCACTAAGTCCGAAGTAGTCATTGAACATATTGTAGTTGGTGAATTGGTTTTTGGCGAAATCGTCGCTTTCTTGAGGGCAAGTTAACGACTTTATCTCCTCGTCGTCGGAGTCTAAAAAGTTACTTGGAATTAGTGTTTTGAGCATCACCTCACTCAAAGACATCGCTCACGCCGTTTCAATCAGTGTCCCAGTAGTAAATGAAAATGTTCTTGTCTTTCCTCTAGACGTGCTCAACTGGCGTAAAATAGTACGGTCTGCTGCTACTAGGAGCAGTTTGCGGTTGTTTTGTCAAATGCAAGACAGCAGTCACTATCGCATGTGGACCATCAGCGGGATATTACTCGACTGTAGTATCGAGCAGGCGTGACCTTTTTATGCACTCACATGTCACAAATCCAACCAATCGCGTGCCTTGTAGCCATTTCAAACTCGACAATCCACCTACCCTTCCCCTAGTCGGAATTATTTTGACATCATTCAAAAAGTCATTTATCTAAATTCTGTTGACATTGGAATTTTTTCCATTATTATTATAGCTGGAATTTTGTTTTGACTGAATGTTATCGGGTCATTTAGTGGCTCCTTGTGCTTTCGTTTTTCGTTCAGCGGGTATATTTTGCCTTTCGCCACTCTCCCTCCCTAAGGAAATTGGTTTAATTCCATAGCAAATCGAGTTTGACAGCTAGTGTTCTTGTGCATTTGAATRGTTTATGATGTCACCCCATAGACTAATAGACGCCTTAGTTTCTAATATTGATTGTTCTTACGCCAATCATATAACAGAGTTTTCAATAGCGTCTGTTATGGTAATCAGTAAAATAAAGCTCTCAATCCCCTGGATCAGATTACACTGTGCAAAGGTCTGTGAAAATGAAAATATTCACTGACGATGACAACTAGCGAGCTGTCAAAAGTTTACGTTATTATTGTATGGTCCATTTTACCTATTAGTGCTTGTTTTAGTTTCAATAGGCATGGTATACCGGTGTTATGGTTAAGTGTATTGTTCTTTCCCACCGGTGGAAAAAAATGGGCTCGCATGTTCGTACAAAAAAATTATTCTGCACAACTGAATTGTGTTGACATCTGAAATTGATAGCATTGCTTTTGTGCCGATGATAGATTGATCCCTAGCGATAAACGCTTCTTTTTTATAGATCTGTTCCTCTTGTTTCATTCTTTTATCGACAAGATAAAAAACAGTCACCTAAAGTTACACAGAACAGGTTTACCGCATCTCGCCGATTTGGAAAACACATTCTAACATGACAAGAAATATCTTTTCAGCTTAGTTCGGTAACTTGAGATTCCTTTTCTGTCTAGCAGATGGCCTGAAGATAGGAGTGAATGGCAAGACGGCCATATGGCTTAAAACAAGTTGAATCGAACACGTGGATTAAAGTAGCTGACTTTAGAAAATTACTAAATGCCAAACCAAGCATTAAACCGTAAAATCTGTACCCAAACATTGCACTCTAAACTTTATACCTTATTCCCTTTTATACTATAATGACGCGAATCTTAGATTTACTGCGCGCTTAGTTATAAGGAACTCCAAACTCCAAATCTTCACAAAAGCAACTTGTTTTGAGAGATAATGGCCTCTCATTTTGGCGGCAAAATTTCTCAGTGTTATTTTATCCCTACCCCCCACAGTCTTTTCTTATCGGGTCATTACTGCGAGATTAACGCTGCAGTATTGTACGAAGAACGATTATTTCACATCTAATAACTCGCGATGTTCTAAAACCACTAAACAGCACAGTAAGAGTGTTCATAAACGCCGTTCTAAACACTTTAATTTAATATATTTATCTAATTGAGGAATTTGCATAACCACGTGTATTCGATCAGATGGTGTGATTGTTGTGGTGTAGTAATAGACATGTATCTCAATCGGAGAATAATCATTTTTTCACTTCATGGAACGATTGATCATCATGTAGTTAATTTCGAGAAATTGAAATCAATCAATTTTAACCCGTCTTGTGTTGTTTACCGGCAAAGGGAAATAAAATCCTTTGTTGTGGACTTTTAGTATTTTTACTCTTTCATTATGACACGAGGGTAATTTTCCCTCGATTGATATTCATGGTGATTAAAAACCGAAAGATCTCTGCTTTGTTTACAATATAATTTTAACATAGCGAGTCCTTACTTAGGGGGGTAAAGGAGGGAAGGTTTTCGTTATCATTTCTGTCCTTTCAGAATTATTTAGGTCCGGCTCAATCAACATACCGCGTCACCAACAATTTTCAAATACCAAAATTCTGATCAAAAYAGAGATAAGGGTTTATCATCTAGAAAATGAAAGGACTCCCATGTAGTACAAAATCGGTCGAAACCGACAGCTAACTGACCAGGAGCCATACGTTACAAGACTACAAAGTGTGTCTCGGTCAGGGGCGGATTACAGGATTTTTTTTAGGGGGGTGAATTTTTTTTAGAGAGCTAACATTTAGAAGTAGGCATTATAATAAAAAGGTTCTTCACATAATTAAGAGATACATTACCCAAGACTAAACGTGAATCTTCGATTTKTACCCAATAATTTACTATTTCCTAAGTTTGCATTATCATTTCATTCGAAAAAGGGGGGTGACTAGTCACCCAATTAACCACCCCCCCACCCCCCACCCCCCACTCCTCTATCCGCCCCTACTCGGTATCATCACTATCAACTCGCGTGATAACTGACAGTCGATGATATATCAGGCTTTGTTTATAGGAAGTGACATGTGAATGTTTAGGCTGGGAGGGGGTGGATTTATATGGTGTGTGGGGGGATGGTGTGAGGAGGGCATGGGGAATGGGAGGGGCATAGGGGATGGTATCTCCTAATCATCATCATTGTAATTAGACTTAATCTACTAGCTAAATGCTGAAAACATGTATTATAASATTTCGTCACAATCTTCCAGTTTATAGTTTTTATCGCCGTCTGACTGTTGCCTTCGTCATTCATCAGTTTGACGCTGCGATGTCTTTAATATACGTTGCTCAGAGATACATATTGATTACTACTGAGGCTAAAATCGACTGGACAGAAATTAGTTATTTATGATCTGTTTTACAATATAATATGATCAAGATGAATTCCTTACTTTGTTCAGTATAAATTTATTGCAGAAACGCCGTGTCCTAAGAGTCCTAAGAAAATAGAGCATTTTTACGTTAGTGCAAATCAAAAACTGATATATCAAAAGACAATGAAAAGCAGTTCACATGAAAGATCTTCGTCTTTTGTATTTTTGCAGTATTCGGTTTGCACTATAAGTGCCCTGTTTTTCTCAGTCTGAATCGGCTTGCAATTCTATTTAGGTGTATATGGAGGTAATAAAATTATATATTTAATACTTTTTCGACCTCATCCATCTGTATTTTTTCATTTATTTGCAAAATGTATGTCTGGTTACAAAATGTCCTGCCGTGCGTTGTCGCCGTCAGAGAACAAACACTTTGTAAAACTGATGGGGACATGACAACAGGGAGCCCATCGAAGTCTTTTCATTGAAATACTCAGCGTCGCCACTTTGTACGACAAAGCACGATGGGAGGTATAGACTTCCTCGCACTTCTTTATGTTCGCTTTAATAAATCCAAAATTCGCTTTCGGGAGAGTTACTTGTTAAAAACAACAACAAAAACACAAACAACACGAATTTGTTGAGCATTTGACAACAAATGAAAAAGTCCAGAGACTACATGTACCATCATGCTTTGCACGAAAAATATCGTCGCCGCGCATGAAAAAATTGAGGTTCGTATTGATTTAATAGTTTGAAAACCAATGTCGAATATAAAACTTGCTGAAATCAGCTAACGCACTGTGGTAGATGAAGATATTCAAACCTTTGATTGTCCCGGATCCGCGTTGTCAACCGCTTTGGTCATGATCCTCAAAAAAATAGTTTGTTATCAACATCATTGTTATCATAATTTTCATCGTTATCATCAGCTTTTAATTTGATTTAATCGTATTTATATCTTGACTGGACTTGTATCGTTTGGTGGAAAAAAAAAACTCTTGTCATACTCAGCCTTTAGAGAAGGGTATTTTTGAACAAAAAGTTCAGTATTTCAAAACAGTACGTCATAAAAAAGAGCAAAGCCAAGAGAAACACTAGCGGGGAAATGTAGACACGTAATATGAAACATGAAACCTCATTAGGACCTCTTCAGTGTACTGTTTCAGTGCTAAGGTTATGGGTATGACATACCTGAATGGAATGTCAAAAATCACGGGTTAACTGTCGGCMTTTGTGGTTTCCGTGAGTTGGTTCCACTTAATGTCAAAACACAGTTTTGGTTTGGTTCCCTGTCGTGATGATAGACCCTAAATATGCACTCATATAAATCTATGGGAAAAATGGATTACCGATAGTGGAGTACCGAATTTTCCAAAGAACGGGTGGAATTCGGACTAGGAGATTATCAGGGAAAGCCAGTGGGTTAGTGGGTAAGTGTGGAGACTATACTCATGTGCCCTAAGTCTCAAGAACTAGGGGTATCTACTTCAGTGCAGTGATATTCGTGTGACAAACATTGATTAGGGACTTCGGGGGGGGGGGGGGGGGGGGGGGGGGTGTGAAGGGGGCTTGACTACTCCCCCAGCAATTACGCTTTGAGTTGTCGCAAATCGTGACACGTTTTTCTTGAGAAGTTTAGTTCCACTTTAATATWTGAGAATCTGACACCGTTGAGTTTTCAGTTTCCAATTAAAGTTCTAGTTACTTCTAGACGTTGTCCCCCCTTTTTTAAGCATAGTAAAATTATATTCCCCCCGGCCCCAGGTGATACATGGAAMGCAGTACAGTTTGTCAAGACATCGTCAAGCCAAGTGWGGATCCTAATCTGCGACCTCGTCCTTYTTAGAGTTAGAAAAAAAATTTGGTTTGGTCCCTCTTAGGGTGASTTTTTTGTTCCCTTTATGGTCTTAAAACATGCAAGAAGTTCCTAAACCGAGTGGTAAAAGATCCCAACAATGCTGCTATACGCGCCGTTTGACTCTAGAAATAAAATCAACAAACCGAACTGTAACGACAGGTTATTGATTGGCCGCTTTTAGGAGTGACATTTTATCACAACCACGCCCATCATCTCACAATCCAGTTCCTTTTCAGACATCATCTTCACTCCCGCTTCCTAGGCGAAAGGATATTAAGGGACTGGGAAATAGGTATGAGGAGCTTTTATTTACTTTATTTTTTTAAGACGTTGTAATACCGTTACCCAGCAAGCAACGCAAGCATCTATTGTAGATATYTTCCCGGAAAAATAGTAAAGGTTAGTTTGAGCATGGAAATTAGGTGTGATTATACATTTKCGCGCTTGAACGTACCGGGAAACATATACTGTTGAACTCGAGGTTGCTATCTCAATATCAACAAATTATATTGCTATTAGCCTAGGGTCATCAGCCTTCAAAATTCAACTAAAGTTTTAAATTATTCAAATAAAATAGCAGAATCTTTTACAATCTTTACAAAACGCTCAGACGTACAGTCTGATTAAATTCACTGTAGTTTCTTGGTGGGAAACCGGCGTGAAAATGTTTTGATAACCCCACCTTTTGATGACCCCTGCTTGCCMCTTTGAATGAGGTGTAATAATATTTGATTCAGTGAAAAAAATAAAATATACGCGCAAAATAAAGAGCAAAGTATTGATGGAAAAAGTGGAATTTTTATTTAATTAGTTTTGAGTTTATTTTCGTTGTGCAATAATGTCAGCAAGAATATATAATACTTCCGCCTTCGAGTCACGTGACCTGCCTCACTTGTACACTCGTCGCAGAAGCAATGGCGGATTCTCCAGAAGTTGAACAAAATGTTCAAAGCCCTTCTGTAAACGTAGAAGCATTAGATGAGAACTATAATAATCTCAAAGCTCTAGCCAAAACAGGTAAAATTCTGTCTTTCAAACAATTTGGTGCATAGGAAAAGTTGAAAATAGCCGAGGGGCTGAAGTTGTTTTGGTTTTGCTTGATCTCATCTTGACACCAAGTTCCTGTATGGGCTAAAATTCTTATGTTCTTGTAATTTTTCAGCTGTCATAGAATTTGATGACCTGAAGCTGAAATGCAAAGAATATTTCAACAAGGTAACTTGGAGAATTTTGATAACATTTAAAAGTGCTCATTTGAGCAAGCTCACAGCAGCTATAATTCAGCAAGGATGTTGCAAGGAATACTATTAAAAGCTTATAAGTTAAGAGCCATTGGCGAGACTAGATGACATCTTAAATTTACTGTAAACTTATTTGTAGTACAAAACGGAGCATCAACGATACCTCAAGGCAAAAGCAGACTTAGATCAGCTTAAAAATGGTGAGTTTGCCTTTCTAGATTGATAGCTTTCAAAAAATAGCGTAAAAATACTATTTTTAGATAAAAGTAGAAAAAAAGTCATTACTAACCTAAGCTACTTGAGTGATCAAAAAGATTTATTAGACAGTTATAAATTTAGTTCCGTTTCATAATTTCATCTGCTAGTTCCGCAAGAAGTAAGMTTACTTTGTTCCAGCAATTTGTTGCACTGCGTGACAAATCTGTAGAATGGTGAAAAAGAAACAACTAATATAATTCTATTTTAAAAACTACATTTGATCGAAATCATTTAAAGTTGACCTTTTCTACTAGATTGAATTACTAAAAAAAATTTCGGCCAATTTTACATCAATTTTCACTTTCCAAGTTTCCTTCCTTCWTGATTTCTCTTTCTAAAAAAATCCATTCCATCCCAATTTTTCTTGTTTTTCTAGCTAWTTTTTCCCATCATTTGCTTCCTCTAGCTATCTGTTTTTTGATTGACTTTCTTTCAAATGTTTCCTTTTAGATAATGAAATCATTCATCTCAAAATCAAAGGAGATTACTATAATCAGACATAGTTTTTTATTATATCAAATCCGACACATTTTTCCTAACCTTACCTAAACTCCAACAATTTTGAGTGATTCTAGATATGGTAGATATAATATGAAGATATGTTGTTTTGATTCTGTCTTCCGGTTCAGTCTCATGTTTCACGAGCATTTTTTAAATGGTTAATACCACTATCCACATGTAATTTCATCTCTTGTTTTTACTTTTAACCCTTGTAATTTATTCATACTATCTATAACTAACATAACTGATTGTAAAATGTAATCATATCCCAACTGAAGTCATGAAATTTAAAGGWGTAGTTGTGTTATTTTTAAAAATCAAATGGTTTTAGTCTAGAATACAAGATTGATAATCAGCCTTAAAGCTTAGCTTGTGAAATATGATATACACAATGATCAAATTACTACCCAATTCAATTCTTTATGCTTTATYGTTTSTTTTTGCAAAYTTGTGATGTTGTTT